AATAAACAAACAAGATCATAATTTATAAATATAAAAAAAGTGATAAGGATTTTGTTTTAGTCTACTTTATTTTCATATTTGCTCGATTTTTTTACATTCTTTCTCCATAAATATATTTAAATATTTTTTAATGCATGTATTTATCAGGTATTTATTTCTCTTTATAATAAGGATTCTAAATTATAATAATTACATTCTCATTCATTTGATTTAAAGTAGTCTAGTAAACTTACAGATATTAAAAGTGATGTTTATTTCAACATACATTTAACTACATGCATATTTATTGCAATGTTTTACGTTTATGCAACCTATATATTTTTTATATTCTAAATATCATTACACAAACGGTTAACGATTATCTTTATTTTAAACGTTACAAGTTTAAAAAATATCTGTGGGTGTAATCACGGCTCCAATTTTTCGAAGGCTTACTCTTTGATTCTTTCCATTATTGTTTCGTATAATAATGATATGATGATAAATATGTGCAATAATGAAATGTAATTAGGTTTCATTATATTAATATTTTTGTATATTAAGTCATGGAGCTTTCAGATTCAATATCAATTCAATAATTGTAAAGATACTGCTATCTGTTTCCTATTAGTTCAATATGTCGGTATTTTTTACGAAGATTTGAAACAGCATCCTTATAAAGAACTGGATCCAGCCTCATGTTAGACTTTAAAAGAGGCATATATCCAAAGACTGCAGCGAATGTATTGAGGCAACTTTGGCGTTGAATGAAATGGTCAGGATCATTCCATGGAGACCTAACACTTTCTCGATCTTTGTATGCTTTCCGCTGAGTTACTTTAATTGGAGGTTTACGCGTAATATGAGATACCATCATATTCATTAAAATATCTTCACAATTTGAAGATTGATGGACAGTTTTAAGGAGTAAATGAGAAAGAAAATTTGTGTAAACATAATTGTAATAGCGATGATAAAATGCAGCCCCTGTCAACACGATTGAATAATAATTTGTCCACTTTGATGTGTAGCCCCAACTGTTCTTTGAATCATCGTAAAAATGGGCTCTTGCTGGAAAGCCCACAATTCTCTCAGGAAAAAACTTCCACACATTAAATGCAAAATCAATCTCATCAGTATTTAAAATGGCATCTTCGTCTAAAGATAATATGGCATCAGTTTCAATTAGTGAATGTGGTTGAAATCTTTGTGATATACTTGGACGAGATTCATTTTCATCATTCTCACTATAAGTTAATGGAGAACTCAAAGATGACACAATATGAAGTGGAACATGCCCTGTTGACGGAAATTTTTTCCTTGGTGGCAATTTTTGATCTGAAGCCCACAATATTAATATTCTATTAACATACTGACTTTTTGTTATACTCTTGACTAGTTTAAAAAGTGCCGACGATGGACCTAAAGTTTGTCCTATCTGAACAAAGATAACTGCAGTAAAGTTTTCCTTTGGTTGATATCCAAATAGGTCAAGTAAAAATGGAAAATTCTGTGGTGTATCCGAAAATGTGGGTAAAGTTAAAAGTGCTCCAGGTGATGTATTCCATGTGAGTCCATTTCTAAAAGGATTTTCGGGAATTCTTTCTCTGATTATTTCAAAAGTAGTAAAAATAATTTTTTCTATTGAACTAAAGTACTGTTCCCACAATATTTGACTTTGCTGTCGCATTCTCATTATTGTTGAAGGGCTTATAGATCTTATAACATCTACAATTTGTAAAAGCAATCGTTCGTCTCCCCATATTACAGCTTGTTTCCAATCTATATGTGGATGGAATGGAAGTATCCATGAATTTGAAAGCAACACAGGTATACATCCCGCTTGTAAAGCTTCAAGAAATCGAAAAGATCCTAATCTTCTCCCTCTAGGAACCAGACAGAATGTTGAATTCTGTAATAGAGTTTCATAATCGTAATGATCATATTCACGATTATCTTCATCACAACGGCCATCCTGAAGTTCTCTCCAACTTTTGCCATGTCTGCAAGTCGTCACCATTACGATATCTCTCCCATTATGAAGGTGAAACAAAGAGTTTCTTGTTTCAGAACCTATGCCATGAACGTAACGCTTTCCTTTGAAGGCCAGTAAATGCTTTTTATTTGAGGGAAAATTATTTGCTGTTACCATTCCTGTCCCCCCACTTCGTTGGGGAAAATGTTTATGAAATAAAGGGATGCTAATATCAAAATTATGTCGTATTGTTTGAATGCTCATGCTAGCTTTGGCAAGAATTGCTTGTCCCGTGTCGAAGCCAAGACCTAACTCTTGATAATCTGGCCAAGTTCCTGAAAAATTAATAAAGATCAGAAATGGAATAGAGTGTAAATAAAAATCTTTCTTTCAGTTATTGAAAATAACTGGAATTTACCTGAATAAAGATTAAAAATTACGTGGTTTTTTCCGTTATTCCAGTATGGTAACCTTTGTAATCGTAAAGGAACATTCCTAACTAAATCTTCGCTCAGAGAGTCTCGATCAAGCGTATCGATTGCTAACACAAATATACATGCTTTATCTGGATCCGCTGTGTAGTACCTTGATTCTGTTATTGCTGTGAGTATTTTTTGATAGTTTGGACTAGCAGGGGAATGAGCTCCTAATGAATTTAATGGTTCAGGAGGATAGACATAAACGAGAAAGTCATTGTAACACTTGGTAAAATCAAAACATGTCTCCATTGTACACGTTTTATAGTTATTGAAGTTTGGCTTATTTTGCTTATTTTGCTTATTTTTTATATTAACAGGTGTTTCATAAAGATCATCTATGTCATTATGTTTACTTCTATTATTATCATTTTTAAAATTTAACATTACATTATTAAGAATATTTTTTGCTTCATTGTTTTTCGTTTTATAATTATAGATGTTATTTTGAATTAATATGAATGATGGCAGCACATCAATAGAAGTTTTTTTCAAACTAAACATACTTTTTATGCGATATCCACCAAAATAACAGTAAGCTAGGAATGCACATGAAAGAACAACGAGAATATATCGCTTTTTTGCTTGCATGTTCAAACGCAAAGATGATTATTTGGTTAGTGATAAATTTTAAAGATTCTCGTATAAAAATGAAGGGTATCAAGATGAGTATATAAAGGTTCTAAGAAAATTTTCTTGATAAGCAAGTTTGTTTTTATTCGAACAGAGGAATCACTGCATACTTGCAACTTTTCCTTGATGGATTACTAAAAGTAAGTCTGCATATTTTTTTGACATACACGATAAATACAGAACAATTCTTTGAATATTTTCTATTCACGATATGAAACGATTTGTATTAGAATAAGCGTTTGTTCACTCATTTATTTTTTTAGTTGTTTGCAATTTAAACATTTACAACTGCGCTCAGTTATAATATATGTTAAAGCCATTATATCTAAGAATAAAAAACTCAGTTATGATATTTTATGTGTAGAAATTAATTTGAACGATACATCGTACCCTGCTTGCGCGACCCTGCAGAACAAATTTTAACGAAACGTTTTAAATTAAAACTAAAACGACCGTTGATTTTTTATATTCTTCGGAAGAATTTAGAAATTCTTCCTTATTTAGCTCAAATCATATTATGGAAGATTCTTGTTGCATATTTCAAAGATAAAACCATCTCACATACAGACATATAAAAAATGTTTTCCTATAATTTAATGTCCATACTCTAAAGATAGATTTAGATGCACATGTGCTTAATCTCGTCATTCATAATTCAAATTTTGAATGTTATAAAGGCGATTAGAATTCACTACAACGTTGTCAAGAATCAGACATTTAGGTATATAAAAGAATTTAAAAGAATTCGATATAACTTAAGTATTAAAATGCGACACTAACATTATTTCAAGATTGCAAGTGCAAATGCTTTAGTTTTTTTAATTGTTTCTTGATTTTTTAATGGAAGATTTCTATGAAACTGCTGAACTTAAAGCCTTAAGTTAAACTTCGGCCCTTAAAGTTGGCCATTTACTCCTCAATTTCAAATTAACATAAAAATGTACATAAAAATGAAATTAACATATGAATAGAAATTTATTGTAAACTAAGTTTTGAAATGGTAAAAAAAAGAATTTCACATTTGATATAAAACCACATGCTGTTAATCTTTCTTTGAAATGGGAAACAAACATTTATAAAATTAAGTTATTTAAGAAAAGCTGAAGGGAAAAATAAAATCCAGATCTAAATAAAATTTGTTTTATTAAACAATTAGCATCCAATATCGTGTAAGTTTTTAACTAATAGATTTTCAAGTGAAAGTTATTAAAAATCAATAATAAAATTAATAAAATGTTTTGGGATAACATTATTTGGGATTCATTTGTAAAGCTCTCACTTTATAATAAGGATTTTTTTTGCGCATGCTTCTATCAAAAAAAATTCAGTGCTACTGCAACTTTCAAGTTATAACATAAATATCTATACTAAAAAAGAAAATAAATATAAATGCAAAGGTTTAGAACAACTGATAAAAAGCTTCCATTCACTACTTTTCAGCAAACAAGTCGAGAGAAGCCAAAAGTTTTCACAGTAGCATTCGAATTAAAAATATTTCCTATAAGCTACAAATTTCATATAGTCAACAATTCTTGAGGTGTAATTGATAAATAGTGTGGTACAAAAGGTTTGAAATGAACAAAAGACAAACTTATTAAGTTTTTTTTCTACTCAGAATTAAATATAGATTGGTTTTCCAAATATATTTGGTCTTGAAGTTTAGATTCAATGTCAGAGATGAATTTATGTGTTAGATATACGAAAATCTTAGTTTTAAAATCACTCTCTATATAGAAAACTTAATATTCGTAACCTTTATAAACGTAACTTTCTCCCTAGTTTTGTTCCGTTTTAGAAATTCAACTGAGTTTTCAACATTTTTCTTACTTTTATATTTTTAGTTATTAATATTGAACACCAGGCAGATTTCAAGCAATTAAGATTTGCTATCACCGTGATTAAGATCAAACAATAAAAAATGGCATTCGCAGGATTAAAAAAACAAATCAACAAAGCTAATCAGGTTTGTTAATAATCCATAGAACGATTCTGAATTTTTCTTTTTCTTTTATCATTCAGGTCAAGGCAATGAATTATGATAAAAAAAAATATTAATTTTAATACACATTTTAAGATAAGATTTGCAATATCAATAATTTAATTAAATTATTAAACTTTTAAAACTGGAAAATCTTTTATGAAAAGTCAAAATTCTACATCTCATTGTATAATTTCCATTGACTATGAAGAAAGTGGTCGCATTATTCTTGAACTTAAACGATGTTATTAACTATACTCATTTCTTTTTCATTTTTTCCAGTATGTAACTGAGAAAATGGGTGGTGCTGAAGGAACAAAACTTGATCTTGATTTTATGGAAATGGAAAGGGTAAGCATTTCAAAATTTGCTTGAATCAATAGAGTAGTCGCGAGTATTCCAAAAGTTTTTCCTCGTCAGATTTAAGCGTTTCATAAAAATGTTTTCCTCCATCTTAATGAATAGAAAATTTCATTTTATTTTAAATTATGTTGAGATATGAGAAAAAAATTTCTAAGCAAGCAAGTTAAAGTTAGCTGTTTGGGTCCATAGATATAAAAGTTACATAAATTTAAGATTCATTTTTTTATTGTATTCATTTTACTTTATAGAAAACTGATGTAACAGTTGAATTGGTAGAAGAAATACAAGCAAAAACTAAAGAATATCTTCAACCAAATCCAACTGCTCGAGCTAAAATGATTGCTGTTCAGGGTATCTCAAAGTTATCTGGCCAAGCTAAAAGTAACACGTATCCTCAAGCAGAAGGTGTGTTAGCCGACTGCATGCTCATTTATGGCAAACGGTTAGGTGAAGACTCGAGCCTTTTCGGTAAGTATTCAAGCACCCAGTTATGCATATAATACGCTTCTGACATTCCAACATTTTTACACAAAAAGCTCAAGCCTTAGTAGAGTTTGGCGATACCTTAAAGCAAATGGCTGACGTTAAATATGCTCTTGATGATAATGTTAAGCAGAACTTTCTGGAACCTTTGCATCAGCTTCAAATGAAAGATTTGAAAGAAGTTATGGTAATTTTTATAACAAATTGTAATGATCAAACACTTTAAAAAATTTTTTTTGTTTTAAAATTTAAAGCATCATCGCAAAAAATTGCAAGGTCGTCGTCTTGACTTTGACTGCAAGAAACGTCAGAGAGCAAGAGGCAAGTTTAATAAATTTATTATGTGTTATCCTTTATATGTTTAAGAAGTATTTATCCTTGCACCCCCAGATGATGAGATAAAAGGAGCGGAACAAAAGTTTGCTGAATCTTTACAACATGCCCAAATGGGCATGTATCATTTACTGGAGAACGATGTAAGAATCTTTCAATTCATTTATACATGACAGTTTTCTTTAAATGTTGTTAATTTGAATATATTAAAGGTCGAGCAGATATCTCAAATGGCTTATTTTGCTGAGGCATTGTTAGATTACCATCAGCAGTGTACTGGTATCCTTCAAGGCTTAGTAGAGACAATGCAAGCAAAGTAATAACATCAAAATTTATATTTTGTACTTGTTTCTTTAATTGTTTCTTTTTTATTCTGTATAGACGTGAAGAAGCGGCGCAACGGCCAAAATCTGAGTTTGTTCCAAAGACTCTTTCCGATTTAGTTGTTGATAATGATGGTAAATTGAAAATATGCAAAAAAATGAATGCTTCAATTTCCTTAATCATTTTTGTTAAAAAATTTGTGGAATGAAGTCATAAAATGAAAGCTAATTTCAATATATTGATGCATTACAGAGCTTTATGAAGTTCTGTTGATTTTTTTTTCAAAAAATGATAATATTACTCTTTATTTCATAAGATGGCTTGTCTGGAACTCCAGGAACACCAGTTAAGCCAAATCATTTGGAAATTATGGGAAATGGTTCAAATGCTCGTTCAAGTAACGGTAACTTATCTTAAATATAAAAGAACTTTCAAAATATTCTGTTTATGTATTCATGTTTCATGTATTTATATTTAGCATCTCCTTTACCATCGCCAATGAGATCTCCAGCTAAACCGCCTCAACCAGTTCAGCCTCAACATCCAAGTTGTATAGCACTCTATGACTTCGACCCCGAGAATCCTGGAGAGCTTGGATTTAAAGTATGTTCACAAAACATCTTTTATACGATGCGTTAAATAACTTTTTTTTAGGAGAACGATATTATTACTTTGATTCAACGGGTTGATGATAACTGGTTCGAAGGAAAAGTTAATGGGAAGCAAGGATACTTTCCACAGTCATATGTTGAAGTTAAAATTCCATTACCTTAAAATACCCAATCAGAAAATGATGTCATAAGTATAATTCGCTAAAAACTTATTTCCTTAAACTCTACTAATAACAAGATGTAATAACATTAGTGTTGAAAATATTCAAGAAATAACTTCTTCTAAATATTTTAAGCTCGTCTTATTGAAATCTCCGTATCAAACTATATTTTCTGTTATGTTGATGCTAAATTCATGTAATATGAGATAAAAGATAAAAAATATACAAAAGGAACGGTGATAATACGACAATTATTCGCAGTGAAATATAGGATTGCTCTTGGCGACTTAGTACTATATATAAATATATATATACAACATGGAAGAAGAAATCTTTCATCAGCTTGTCTTGGCAATAAAGTATGAAATTATATTAATGTTTAAGATAGAAAAACCATGTCTGAATTCGATAAAGAAACACAAACACTCTTAATAAAACAAAGCAAGTTGAAGAGTCGCTAAGATTAGATAAACATTATTTAATTGAAAAGAACTAATTAATCGAATAATTAATTAACTTATGCAGTTATAAATCTACACAAGAGTTCATTAAATATTAGGGTTAAATATCATCAGTTTATTATTGTTCTTGAAATTACTGAAAATCTATTCTAATGAATGTAGGTATGGAAATGTTAAAATTAAAATTAAAAATTTGATTCTTTCCAAAAATTTAATTAACTTAAAAATGTGAAAGTGAACAATAAGTAATAAAAAATGAGATTATCGATTTATTTACTGGCACAATAAAAATGATTCTTCTATTTTATTTTTTACTGAAACTCATGCTTTCTACCGGATGATATTATTAACTAAATTCTCTTATTTTTTAAAACAAATAGACAAAATTCGTGGAAAAGATGACATTTAAATTAAAAATATTTTATGTCATAACTTCTTAATCTTTTTTTTGCCCGCACATAGCCTTCTGGTTGTGGCTTTAGAAAAAAATTATTCATTATTGAACAGAGCATATTTTTAAATTTATAAATTAGGTATTTACCTTGATTTAAATTTTTGAAAATTCAGATTATCAACATTTTGTAGTTAGTCTCATTAAAAAAAGTGATGAAAAATGATTTTCCAGCTGTTTCCAAGATTTTCCATGGTGGAATTCATGTCTAAGGAAAAAGAAATAATTAGAAATTTCAATATTTGTTTGCCTAACTGAACAAACTAAAATAATTCAGGGAGATAATTAAATAAGGAATACGACGTCAAGGATAAGGGATTGTTTATAAGAAAGAAAACTTCAAAAGCAGCTTTTAAAGAATTCATAAGCGACGCGTTGCAAAATCAATTTCCACAATTTGATGAGAATAATATGGATATTATGATACGTAGAGTTAGATCGAGGTGGTTGAGATACATGAAATATATTTTGTCTGTAAAAGAGTATTAATTTTAAGAAAAAAAAGAAGTGAATTCGTTCAATTTAAGGCCATTTATACCTCTATTGACGGATGAAAGGTCTAGTTTAAACGAAATTTTTTTGCCATATCTTTTCGACTCCCTCCAGGAGATCCACTTCGTTTGGGTCCACGAATACTTAAAAAGCTCATGTGGCTTGTTTTCTCCGAAGGAATCCATTGAATGGCGACTTCGTTATCATTCATCCATATGCGACAAACATCAGGCATCGTTCGCATAAATTCCATGAAATCCATTCCTCTTAGTACTGTATCAAATGATTCACCAAAAAGATTATGATATTCAAATCGGAACTGTGTTTCTGTTGTAATTCGACCTAATGCGAGCAAGATCGAGCTTATAATTGGCTTAATGTCTTCGCGTATGCCTTCCATTTTCAAGGTTAAACTAAGTAATATGTGTTTATCAATTTATTTTAATTTTGCTGTTCGCGTTTTTTTAGAATGAACAGGTTGACGCAATCAACTTTTTATCCTTTCTATACAAATGTATCAATGAGCCAAGGAACATAAAATAACACAAGAAATTCAGTTTGAAATATAAGGATGATCGCGATCATGACCGGATCGTTCAAATGTGGACATGCACCCCATAAAACATTATGCCTTTGGTGTCATTGGAGATAGTTCAAAACTGGGAAAGACTTGGTTCTAAATGTAGATCCAAGCACTTGCGAGACATGCAATAATTATTTTAATTTTCAATCAGGCGTACAAATAAAAAATGGTGGAAAGTTAATTTCTCAAAACTCAAAAAATAAACTTATAAATTTGGGTGTTGTAAAATTCGCTTTCCACCAATGAAATTTAACTTATTTCTAGATTCCTTACCTTTAATATCTGATTACGACGACGACGTGAACATCCATTACATCACGTAGATTCATGATAAATTGCGTCATATTCCCATCGTTCCACATTTTCTGAAGATTTTCCATGTCATATTTGTCTTCAGCAAGAACACGACGGAATTTAATTGCATACCTAACTGTTGAATTAATTTTAAAATGAGTTAAAGTTGAAAAGAAAACTGAAAATTAAATTTTAAAATTACCGCTGGAAGCAAGATGTCTGGAAGTATGATCGAAAATCTTCTCGCAAAGATGACTGACGTTTAATGCATTCTTCTTGTTCTGCAATCTCTTCGAATTGATGTTGAATGTCAAAAGTCTTTTCACGAATAAATTCGATCGCAATCTTCAAGTTTGGCTCGAGAAGTTGCATCACCTTTGAATTCATTCAATTCAATTGACTCCATTCCCAAGCGTTCTATTCGAACTTTTACATTGTGACATAAGCTCAGATAACAATTTCACCATGCTTCTTGCTCGCTGAAGTAAAGTCATTAACAAATGAATCTTATCAGATCGTTCCGTGAGAATGATATTTGCGCATGGCTTCAACAACCATGTGAAGAGTAATTTCGCCTGATCGTGATGCACAAAAATTATTCTTTTTTTGGTATTGATGGTGTCTAGGTAGCCGATCAAGAAAATCTAAGAGTGCTGCGATTTCAGTTTTTTAGGTTAAAAAAATGAAATTGTGACGCAAATTTCATATTTTTACCTTAATATAACACGAATCTGATGACGTTGACGTGCCCCAGGATTCAAATTCAAAGACATGATATGTTGTGAAAATTGTGCATCTGGTGCGTAAGCAACAATGTTAAAAATCTGAATAAATGTTTAAAGGAAAACTTTCATTTACTTATACTCACCTTTAATTTTTAAGCTTTGGTGTTGAATTTCCTTTTTTAGGCTGGAGCGTTTATTATCTGACGTTTTTCTTTCACTGACAAAATGGAATGAAGAGCGAAGATGAAAAGATCAAACTTGTTGGGACCTTTGATGAAGAACTTCATCAAATAAAGATCTGGAAAGTTGGAAAAAAATATTAGAATTTTCAATTTAAATCATCGACCGTTGAAATTTAAATCGCCAATAATTAACAATAAAGAAGAAATCTCTGCGATCAAAATCAATTCAAAGAATGTGTTATCTCACTCAAAAGAAGAGCTTCACCTTACAAGAATTCCTGCAATTTCCACCTTTGGACTCATTGATTTCAAAATTTATTTTTGTTTATCAATATTATCGATAATTCGTCAAAGGAAGACTGACGGATGATGAAAATCTAATTTTGAAATTTGAAAAAGAATAAAAGTTAACGACATCTTCGTTTTTAAATTTTTGAGAAAAAATTTATGGTTTTTTTTATTGACCGACTGTCACAAATGTCGTTACCTGATGATAAACACCGAATTAAAAACAAAAACATTTTTAAGAAGCTATTTTAATTCTAACTTGTGCTTAAAATTCACAGTTAATATATTTGGAAGTTTCAAAACTTAAGTAATAAACTGTGAATATGAATGAAGGTAAGTTTGCAAAGTTTTAATTGTTAAATCCATAACAATCTTAAAACATTAAAATTTTCAGTAAATGATAGCTGGACGCCATTCAAACAATTACAACAGTATGTCGAATCATTCATTTGCAAGTCTTCCCATGAAAGCAACTTGGCTAAATTTGACAGTCTTCTCAGGAAAAATCGGCATTATTTTGCATCAATTCTTACAAATCCAGTAAGTTTAGGTTAATTTTTTTTAAGTTTAATTTATGCTTTGAATAATTGTGGTCAGTGACTGATAGAGTGTAGACCTCTCAACAGTTACAAACATGCATGTGTCTGTGGAGAAGAGCATAATAATCTTCTGCTTTGAAAGAGGTGAACTTTCTGATCAGCACCACTTAAGTGCGGATTTCAATTTGTTATGTGATATTTAATTGCTATTATTCTAAGTAATAACTAATAATTTGTGTCTTCAATATATAGCCAAAAAATGATGGAGCCCGCAAAGAAATCCAGCAGGGAATTTCCAGTGGAGTTGTTATTCCTGGTTTCGGTCAAACTAAACTTTCTACCGATTTGGTTGATGAGGCAATAACTCTTTCAGATATGTACAATCTAAATGAGTTTATTTCATTGGAGCTGCTGACAACAGCTCAACAGCAAATGTCGCATTATCCAGGATTACCTCGTGGATTAATAGCAATTTTGTTATATTATGACGGAAAGAAATCTTTAGTATTGACATTGAAGAGTCTCATGCAAGCTCGGCTCGGTGTTTCATGGTGTACAGACGTTTCCTACGATATTTCTGCGCTGGTTACAAATTATACTGATTCACTTGTAGCCGAAGGCTTACTGAAAAAAATCATTGATGCTCTTGATAATCTCGACATTACTAAAGAATTAGAATTGTTAGCAAAAAATCGAGCTCTTGGACCACCAAAACATCATCGAATGGTTCTGGATCTCTATGAAGAGATTCGTCAAAACCTGGCAATAGCGTTATTCAACTACTCCGCACAATCTGGATTGCCTAAGGACATTACAATTGATTTAATTCGTAAGTTTTTTATTTCTTAAGACTTTTATTTTTTAATTCATTTTAATTTTTTTTTCTAGACTACCTAAAAAAGTCCAAGGTGAATGGTGCTCGTGGTGAGATCGATGATGTTACTGTAACTTTAATGATGGCTTTACTTTATGCTATTGATATCAGCGCCATTCATAGAAGAGAGGATGGTGATGAAATAGTTCGTCGTTTGCCTCTTGTCAATGATCCTGATTATATTGAAAATATAATGCAAGAACTTATTATAACTAATGAAGATCCTTCATCGAATTCCAACTTATGGCAATGTGCAGGCTTACGCTCTTTAGCTATATTCGCATTAGGACTTACTTGTGGAAATTTAAGATTAGCACCACAGAATTTATATCCAAGCGCGCAACAAATTATTGATAAAGACGAGGAACTTGTAGAAATCGGAATTCACTTCAAAGTCTTTGAGTTTCTTCACTTCACATTTCTACAAAACAACATAATTTATAAGACAGAATTCTTTTATCGTCGTCTGCATTATCTCTTCACAGATTTTATTGAGATTATGCATTCAAAAGTCACAGAATTAAGAGCCCGTGCTGATGAAACTGCTCGAATTATTCAGAACTATCAACAGCAAGGCTTGGAACCACCAAATAACATCGACGTACATTTTTCAAACTTTCTTTATGCTATCGGAAAGTTTTATCGAAACGATGAATTAAATTTACATTTAAATTTAGAGTATTGGGGCCCGATGGAGTTTGTCGGTAAATCTCATCGATCTTCATCTCGTTCTGTGTGTCTCTTCAAATTTATACGCCTTGCTGGTGAACTTTTGCCACAGATATTATTCATACCATATTTGAAAATGCTTTCTGGACTTTCTGGCAATCCGCAGGCAGCGCGTAATGCTTTCAATCTACTGAAACAAGGCAATGGGTCTTCTGGAACGGCAACAGTTTCGTGGGATCATTTTTTCACATCGTTGGCACGTTATTATCAGTAAGTAAATTTATATTCTATTTTGATTTTATCATCTCATTGCTCTATTTATATAGAACACTGCGTCATGAACAACAACCCAGCACGGATACAATTTATAGGTCGAAATTATTCTCAAGAAACATTGATCCACAAGAAATCGCAGCTCTTCAAGCAGTTCTTGAAGTCATTCGAACTGTTGCGACACACGACGAAGTCGCAAGAATTTCTCTTTGTGAGCAGCCAAGTTATGCACCGATGCCAGTCATGCTTGGACTTATAAGTTGTTCAATTGTTATACCACTGAAAGCTGAGTTAATTTTAACACTTGCGGCTCTTGCACGATCTAGTGAAACAGCTGTTCAACTTTGGAATCTTCTTGAAGCATCACAAATTATCTGCACTATTCCGAGCACGCAAAATTTCGGCAATCGAGGAATTGAATCGGAATTGGAAGAAATTGAATCAAGGAATGAAACTTATCCGTTGACGCAATCGATTTTGGAACTTTTTCATACTCTTTCAGGAGTCATCATACCAAGAGCACTTGGAGCTGGTCCAAGAAAACCTGGTCTGGATCCTTACATAACATTCATTATCGATTCGGTGTTTGTTAAATTTTACAATCGAAACTATAAGAATCCTGAAGAGAAATGGGAAATTGCTGAGAAGTGTTTGAAGATTTTCGATTTCTTTTTAAAGATTTATGAGCCTTCATCGCGTGATTTTCCTATCAATAATGTCATTAAAGAAGAAAATCCACCACCAGGCTTTCATATTATGCTCTCGATGAATACAAAAACAGAATTTCTCCGTCTCATTCTGCATTTGATTAATGAAGCTTGCATAATGTTTGACACTTATGCGCCATTTGCTGGGAAGAAACAACTAAAAAATGCAGTTCTGCACGCATTAAACATCGTAGAAATGTCATTGATAAAGCAAGAGTCATTCTTTGACTCTCATTTCACTGCCAGCAGTTCAATTTTCATCTCAGGCCTCAACAAACTCATACTTGACATAAACCCACGGAGTGGTAAAAGTGATCACGTGCTTAATATCGCAAAAATGGTTACATACAATGCTGCCCTTCCCAAGCACTCTTTACAAGCTATCAGAATTTTACGACTTTTAATTCGACATCCCAATGTCAACAGCCAACTTCTCGGGATGTTTACATTTAATGATAAAATAAAACTCGAAATACGTCAAGGTTTTGTAGAATGTCTCGAGAATGAAATTTTCATCGACAATGAAGATGAAGATTGTGGAATTGAGATAAAAATTAAAGAAGAAATTTTGCTTCTTTTGAGAGATTCACTTCCACAAGCAGCACCAAATGTTGCTCATTATCTTCTCGGCTTCGATGTCAGTAAGGATATTCGCTTAAGTAACTTGCAACATCCTGGAGTTCTTGATTTTCCAAGTACATGCTCGAAATCGCTCATCTTGTTATTGGATCATTATTTAGAAGATGTAAAATCCAATCGGGTCCTTTCAAACGCACATCAAATCTTAATAGAAAGCGCTTACAGTCTCATCTATCAACTTTGCTTCAATGTTAAAACATCAGAAGTTTTCCTTAGATATCTGCGGTCATCTGGTGATTTCCTAATACGTCACATTATGGAACTTCCTTTTAAGAATTCTAATGAAAGCCATCATGTCCTTAATCAAATGACAGGGCTTCTTAAAAGTGTCGCAATTGAACTGAAGGTAACATCAGAGAAAAATCAATTAAGTCAATTTGGAAACTTATGTAAAGTATTGCTGGGAATGGCTCAAACTTCAATGAATACGCAAAACCATCATCATCAATTGGAGTTGGGACATTATCTTTCATTTATGACGAATGATGCTTCAGCGCGTAAGAAAACGTTTTCCTCAAAACTTCTTATTTGTGAGCTTTTGAACTCATTGGATCTCGATATGAAACCATTGGAACGTCCAAAATGGGATTATTTTGATAATTCCTTAATGCAACATCTTTTTAATAGCAGTGAGACTGTGTTGATCGATAATGGAATAAAACTGATTGATGTGAAGAAAGTTCACTCGATTTTGAAGGAAGAATTGAATTCTGTTCAAGCAACAGTTGCAGCAGGACAGCGTCAAGATATCATTCAAGAAATTGAATCAATTATGACGCATGCATTGAATATGAATCAACAAAAAATATCAACAGCAGCAAATGCAATGTTTCTTGAAGCTTGGAGTCAAGTCACTGAAATTATATTCAGCGTCAATCCATCTTTTTATTTCAATTCGGATGTAAAGCAACATTTAATCATTGAAATTCTTCAATGCCTTTTGAAATATTTAGTGCCAGCTCAAGTGTCGCACGTTTTTCCTGATTTATCAAACATCGCATCGTCAACTGTTCTGTTGTTACTGATGAATTTAAGATCTTGTTTTGGAAAGAAGTTATCCTCGAACGAAAATGCATCATTCTTAAATAAATCGCCATCAAATCTAAATTTCACTCTCGACAACATTGGATCTTCTCCAAAATCGAATACTTTACATCTGAAGTACATTTTTCGTAACATAATCGAGTGGATTATTGTGAGTGGAGCAGGAAGTCAAAAGTTGCGGATGAATCTTTATGCAGCTTTGTTAAATTTCATTTACATCATTAAAGGCGACAGTCAAAGTCAAAAACTAGTTCAATTTGATGATCAGAAGAAAGATTTTTATGTTTCACGATTAGACAGAACAATTATGAAACGAAATGAAAAGCTTGATGATGACGATGATGACGTTAACAGTCAAATTGAAATGGCTTCAGAAATTCTTAATTCTTTTGGCGATAAATTGACTGACATTTTATGTCATGATTGCACGGGAGGTCATGACGTAGTCAAAATGTTGGCACTTTCTTGCATAGATTTACTTCTGGATATCGATACGATGACGCATTGCATTCATTTTGTTTCATCACGAGGATATTTGTCTAACATCATTGACAGTTTACTTAAAGCTGATCAAAAGTTGTGTCACATATTAGACAATCAGCCTGTCAGCTTGAAAGCTTTGTATGTCTACGAATCAAAAATGACAATGCTTAGTCGTTTCGGAGGATCTTACATTGGAGCCGAATTGCTTCTTGAACATCGTGTCATTAGCATTTTATCACAAATGAAGGTTTTTGATCTTCATCCAGATTTTAAAATGACAACTGGCAGCAACATGATGGAAAATAATTCTTTCATCCCTTCAATCGAAACTCGTTATCAACAAATTCTCTTTCCAGCATTGAATCTTTGCGATGTCATTCTTCTGACATTGGGACCAGAAAATCAATCCGTCATTACTCAAATCACACATTTTCTACTATCACATGCTGACACAATTGAAATAGTTTTACGAGCAGGAACACCACAGATGAGTCTTGGACTTCTTCAAGAACTTTCTGCACTAACTGGTTTAATTGCTAGAGTTGCAAATCAAAATATAAGTGAAATGATTGATCCACGTGGAAGCAGTGATATGGGAGCTCAACTTTTTCGACTGCAGAAATTAATGATGACTTTGTTCCCGCGATTTTTGGTTAAGGAACTTAGTAATAAATCTAATGAGAGCACTTCATTAAATTCTCAAATGGATGTCGATGGTCATGAACATCTTAGTGAAATTGAAAAGCAGTGGGTTGAAACGAAAAAAGCTCGACTTCAAATTGCTGCAAACATTACATTCTATGCCCGCAATTGCATTGCCAATTATTCTGTTGATCATCGAGCCACAAAAGTTTTATTTTCTGTAAGGAATGAACATTTTCACGGAGGTGATTCTGGAACAATTGAAACATCTCCCGAATTAAATCTCGTTGTGATGCAATTGAAACATTCGGTGGAATTTTATCAATCGGAAAAGTTGACATACGATGAATTAGTTAGACAGAAGAACATTCTTTCAAACATAACTCTCAATGCAACTTCAACTTATCAAAATAAGTTTTTGTCCGATAAATTATACGAGAAATTGCAAAGTCTTAAGCTCAGTGCGTTTATAACAGAAAACTGTTTATATCTGCTTTGGACACATTTAGATTATTATATGCTTCGTTCAATCTCACCGACAGTTCAATTTAATGGCTTTTCTTCTAGCAGCGGTCAATTGATGAACACCGTAAACAACATCAAAGTTACAAGTGATGATATTGGAAATCTTAAACTTTATCTCGTAAACATCTTCAATGAAACATTTTCAAAGCAAATTTTAGCCACTACACAGGATCAGTTTTCAAACGATAAAGGATTTATGGATGCACTTTTAAGACGAATCAAGAGATTAATTCAGTTCGTTCCAGTTCAATAAGAATTTAATATCCAATTTATTTTTTTTCTACTTATTATTACTTATTAATTATAGAGCCCAAAAGCTTATCATCCAATAAAAAATGTTAATTTTTCTTTCTTATGATCATTTAATAAACAAAACATTTTTTTCCTAATCTTTTTTAGTTTTCGGGGACTTTGTTTGAATTGAATCAAAAATTGTTTTTTTCTTGTCTATATCTCTAAGCTCCATTTGGATAAAAATTTGCATTGAAGGTTCTTTTATTTTTTGAAGAATCGTCTTTCTGGCTGTTTCACCACTATCTTTGTACATATCTGTAAGCTCCTTAGCATATTGAATCCAAACACAGTTTTCACATCCGCTCATACAACAGTTGGTGGGTTCATCAGGCAGCTTATGGTTAGAAAATTTGGTATGAAAACAAGAAACTGTTTGGATAAAGGTAATTTAAAACCTACTTCTTGTGACTTTTGATTTTCTTGAATCTGACTGTTTTTGTTTAAAAGATCTTCTGTGTTATTATTTTTTTTCGAACACATTTGACGTACACTAAACTCAAAAAGGTTTCTTAATTTTTTACCTCGAATCATATTTATTACATTTTTTTGGTTTATTTAGACTATTAAAGAATTTTGATTACGCAAACCATCTTCAATTGAAAACTTTAAATAAGAATAATGAAAGTTTCATCTGAATTTTTAACAGTGTGAACAGCTGATCGATTTTTCTCTTTAATACTCTTTAGTCTAGTTCAAGGGGTAACTCAGCGAAAAGAAAATCAGCCGGCAAAAGCAACATTCAAAAAAAAAGCAATAGAAGCACCAGCAGCAATTCCTAGCGAAACTAAGTAAATTCTTGTAAAATGAAGCATTAGGTAGTGTTTCTCGTAGCACCATTTCAGATCGTTGGGATAAGCATTATGTTGGTTTTCCCCTTGCTTTAATTAGATAGGATGTTTAACTATTAAATATAATTTTTAAAAAAATGAAATAACTTCATTTAAAATAATCTTTATATATTTGCTTAATTAAAAGATTGATAATTCGTACGTAATCTATACACATATGCATGGTTCGTCTGAAGGCTTTGGAAACAAAACCAAACCCTTATCTCTCTTTGCAGAATTCTCAAACTCTCTCTCAAAAAATATTTTTGAGAATTTTTTTGTTATAAGCGGCATTCATTCTGCTTCTTAGCTGCATTTCAATTTCATTGCTAGGTCTATCTAGATTTGATTGTAAATTCAATTCATTCCAGAAAGTGATAATAAAGTTGAAACCAAAATGGCATGGGAAGGTCGTAAATATAAACACGAAAAGTCTGAAAACTTCGATGAATATATGAAGGCATTAGGTAAGTTTATATCAAAAATAATTTTATTGCGTTGATTTTGAAAAAGAAAACACAAAATTATAAATTGTAATGCATTCAATTACCCAGATAACCTACGTTCTTATTAAACTTCTAATACAAAGAAAGATGTTTAAAAATATGAAAGAAAAACACGTGGATTTTTTTATAAGAATATTAAAATTTGTATGAAAAGAATAATCGTATATTAGTGGATGTGTACTCTGGAACAGATACAGATATTCAGAAAGAAAACAAGAAGAAAATAAATTTGCAATTTATTCAACCGGTTTTTGATCGAATTTTTTTTATTGTGCAATTTAAGAATAAAAATGGCCAAAATCGAAACATATTAGGATAATTTATTTAAAATCTCGAACTGTTTAAAGATGTTTCCATTTTATATGCGTTGCCTATTCTTTCTTAAAATTCATTATTTCAAGTAAATTCCATGTTTATAGGGACTGAAGTTTCAACATTGTCATAATTTTGTTAATTAACTAACTTTCGACCCAAGTTCAAAATTCTTGCTACATAACGTTAAGCTTACAATCTTAAAATAGATAAAAAAGACATTGATATGAATTTATCAGGATTTTTAATCGCTTTAGTAAACCAATGTGCACTCCCTACTTTGATGATTTCATTGATATAAAGATTACATAGGTATAACTGATTGTGATGGAATAAATAGATGGAAAAATCTTGATTTATTAATTTTGTTACCACTGAAAAAGTAGCAACCAGAATTATCTATATTGATAACAATGATTCAATCCAAAGTACGGAAAGTAAGTGAAAACCTGATAAGATTTCTCACTCAAAAACTAAGTTGGAATAATGTCACTCAATATATAAATCCATCAATCATGTCTAAGAACCTAAATGTGTTAATCGGGGAAAACACATTTCTCGAGTTACATTTAAAGTTTGAGTTTGTATTGAAATCAGATACAAAAATTGAAATCAGAAATTCTTTTTGTTGAACTCAAATATGACTCAATTGAAATTCTCTCAATGCAATGCTTCGAGACGGATAATTCATAAATTCTTTGAATCAATTGAAAGATAATTCAATTAACAGTAACTTGAACATCTCAATAAGTATATAACAAAAGATGTGAATGAAAATTAATCACTTAAATATGTGAAAACGTGCTCAAGTAATTTCTTTTTATCCTTTTAGGAGTTGGTTTGGTTCTGCGAAAAATGGGCAATACAATCAATGCCACATGCTTTTTGGAAAAGAATGGAGATGAATTTTCCTATCATACTGTATCAACTTTCAAAACCACTGTAGTAAAATTTAAGTTGGGAGTAGAAAGTGAACAGGAGACCCTCGATGGAAGAAAAGTCATGACAACATATACTTTAGACGGTAACACTTTAACTCAAGTTGAAAAAGGTGAAAAGAAATCTGTCATCACTCGTGTTTTCTCTGAAACCGAAATGGTTGCAACATGCATCTACGGTGATGTTACCTGTAATCGAGTATATAAGATTGTCACATAAATGTAGGCGTACAACATCTACAAGCTGTAATTCTACTCAATGAATTTGACTCTTATTACCACCAGAGAAGAAAACAGAAGCAGCATGCTACAATACACATTTTTATGCTTATTTGGAATTCCTTTCATAGATATTTGAAATATAATCAAACATTATGCTAATAAAATTTAAAATAGGTATAATTATATGTATTGATTAACACATTGTAGCTTACTTTTATAATAAAAAGAAAAATTAACCGACCAAGTTCTGTATGAAATTCCCGGTTTAGAATAATATTAGAAGCGCTATAGCTGCGTTTCATTGATTCCCGGTTAGTTAGAAAGTTGCAACGCAGTAATTTAGTTAAATCTCTTCAAAATTTAGACAAATAAGTTTTAAAATCTTCGGAGCAATGCAGTAAAATATTATCATCATTCCTGAAAGCTCTCTTATCAACTTTAAACAGGATTTCAAATTGTATTTAATGATATTTTTTGATTAATATGTGCGAATTTATTTCGAGATTTCAAAAGGCAGGGAGAAAACTTGAAATAATTAACATTTAAAAGTGCATTTATAATTTAAGGAGAACGTTTGTAGACTATTACGTACAAAGGTGAGCAAATTATTTTATTAAAATAAATAATAAACAGATAAGAAAGTTACATAATCGGATCTCGTTTTTTTTCAATATGCTCCACACACCATGAAACGTACACGGCTTTACGTCACTAATTGTTTCAAGTCTTAAATCAACGAACAAAGTTTCCTCGCTGGCTTATTTATTTTCAGTCAATCGCGTTTGTTCGAACAAAAATACCAATTTTTCTTTCGTATGATAATTAAAAACTTTAAAGAAAAAATTCCACATTTTCTTTCTTGCTTCGAATAGCCTTGACGAATACTAAATCACTTTTTTTCCTGTTATCGCACCAGAAATGGATGAAGCAAAAAAAATTTCATTCTATAGGCATTTAGATTATCCTGGATTATCCTCAAATCAATCGAAAATCTTGAATCCTTTTCTGAGACGACCATGGATGACCAATACCAGCGCTGCAGCGCCAAGTGGTGGCAGCAAGGGTTTAAAAGGAATAGTAGCAGGTGGAATTACCGGCGGAATAGAAATTTGTATCACGTTTCCCACAGAATATGTGAAAACTCAACTTCAACTTGATGAAAAAGGCAAGCGATTTATTTACAATAAATTATTATTAATTAAGTGAAATATATTCAGGTGGAAATAAACGATACGATGGAATCGTTGATTGTGTTAAGAAAACTGTTAAGGAACGTGGATTCTTTGGTCTTTATCGAGGTCTCAGTGTCTTGCTTTATGGCTCAATTCCAAAATCAGCTGTTCGGTATTAAAATTTCCATTATTTTATTTTAATTATTCTACAATTTCATTTTTTTTAGTTTTGGTGGGTTTGAGCAAATTAAAATTTACTTGGTTGATGAAGAAGGAAATCTTAGTGGAGGCGGAAAATTGATTGCTGGTTTGGGCGCTGGTGTTCTGGAAGCAATTTTTGCTGTCACACCAATGGAAACAGTCAAAGTTAAATTTATCAATGATCAACGAAGTAAGAATCCCAAATTTCGAGGTTTTGCACATGGAGTTGGATGCATTGTCAAACAGGAAGGATTTTCAGGACTTTACAAAGGAGTTACAGCTACCATAATTAAACAAGTAAATATTATATTTTACTTCATTTATTTACTTAGATAATAAATTTATTCTTATTTATTTTAGGGTTCAAATCAAGCCATCAGATTTTATGTTATGGAAACACTTCGTGAATGGTACAAAGGTGGTGATAAGAAAAAGGAAACACCAAAACTTCTTGTGGGATTATTTGGTGCAATTGCTGGCGCTGCATCTGTTTTTGGAAATACTCCCATCGATGTTGTTAAAACTAGAATGCAAGGACTTGAGGCTGCCAAATATAAGAATACGTTAGACTGCGCCGTGAAAATTTGGAAAAACGAGGGACCATTTGCTTTCTATAAAGGAACGGTCCCTCGACTCTCACGTGTTTGTCTTGATGTTGCTATAACTTTCATGATTTATGATAGTTTCATGGATTTGTTTAACAAGTTTTGGAAGTAACGTGTACCTACTTAGAGTATCACTTAAAACAAATTACCTTGCACTGAAGTAGCGAAACAACCTTAGGATGGGTGAACCTAGAATGGTCAATTCAAATATTTTTCTAACTTAATCGTAGACAATCTGAGCATTTACGAAATATGAATTTAAACAGGTCTTTAACGATAATATAATTTCTTAATAGAGAATTAAAACCGAAATATTGCCTCAGAGCCAGTAACTATTAGCATTTACTTTATTTCATGAAAATATTTTCGTGCAGATTTTTTAAATATATTTTATTTCATTCCAATTGAATATTCTATACATTGTTTCAACATTTTACAACTAAATATATTTTTTGAGTTTTCTTATATTTATATGAATTGTACAAAATAGAAAACATTTGTAAGTGCTCATTACAACGTGAAATAATAATAAAAATTTAAAACACTATAAAGCCATCCGTAAAATAATGAAAATAAATATATTACATAAAATTAACCGGCTTGATATTAAACAATGCTAGCGTATCATTAAAAACCTTTCGCACTGTCATTAGGAAAAGAATTTTTGCATGAAGAATTTTCATCAATTGGGGTCGATTTTCAGTCAAAATTCGGATACGTCGATAATAAATTGAAAATATGCTAGCAAATGTCAACAAGTACTTATGCATCAAATGAATGGAAATTTTACCTTTTGAAAGATCGTTTATCGATCGATTTATTGTGTCGGGAAACAAGAGCATTATTTTAATTAATTTCCATTCCTCTTCTTCATTCAAAACACTCAAATCTATATTATTTAAATGTGGTAGCTTTTCATAATATTTCTCATCAACTTTCTTATTAAAGCTTTCCATGATTCTTTCTAGCCTTGCTGAGTTATATAAGATGAATTCTTGTTTAGAATTACTTGTAAGTATCAACGCCGAAGAATGTTTCACTTCCAAAATGTCTAAGTTTGTTGCATTCTTTCCAAGTCTTTCAATTAACTCTTTGAAGGCATCGTCTGTTTTCACTCGTATTCCATACTTGTGAATTGAAATTAAATGCATATCCTGACTTCGTTTCGAGAGGTACTCAGTAAGACTTGTTTGGATTTTTTTTTTAGTTTTCGGATCAAGAATTGCGGCACACAATACAAACTTCTGACGTGTGGAAGCTTCCAAATTTTTGAGATTTGCTACTGTTGTTACTATTACTTGATATTTTGCATTAGAGGGTTCATTGGTATAGGCATATTTTGAATAGCAGATAAGATTTCTCATAACATCGCCTATAAGTTTTTTACGATATGACAAGAGAGATGATTCATCTTCAGCATATTTACATTCAACGTTAACACTTTCATCATTAAACTTTTCACTCATTCCGAAATTAGAATTCATGAAAATTTCCCTCACAGTTTTCGTGATACATGAAGATCGTTCAATATTGAAGAAACATGAGTTGTTTTTAATTATGACTTCTACAATTTTAAATGTCCAAACCGATGATGCGTTCTTAAAAGTTTCAATAGCTTTAATCTCATCATTTTGCTCACTTCCATAGAACAAAATATTTTGATAATTAATGCAGCTTTTATCACAGAACTCAGATAAATAATTGATCCAAACATCTAAATTAATTGGAAACACAAAGTCATAAGAACCACATTCGAGGAATTTGATTACTTTGTTACGTTTGGAATCTTTCGATTTTAATAAATATGAATAGACTTCATCATTAAAGTAATTTAAAAGATCCATATCCTGTTTTTTTTTAAATAATTAAAATTGTCAACAAGGGGTATGTAACTTGCTATGAAGATTTCAAAATCCTACTTACTCTTGGAAAATTAACCGATTCAATATATCAAAATTGGTAATAATGATCTATTCAACGAACTGAATTAAATTCTTCGAAGAATTTTCATGATAATTCAAAATGTTCGTAAATCTAGGAATGAATCTGAGAAAATTTTTGGACAAAACCGGTATGACTACTGGCAGTTATTTTGGATAGGAAAAATTTAAAACGCTCACTCTGCTACAGAGTTTAGGTACTGTCATCAAATATGCTCCCCTTAATTAACCTCTTTAACTTGAGGGCGGGAAATAAAATTTTGCTTCAGCTTTACTGGTATTAGCGCAACGCATAGTCGCAATCACTTTTGAAACTACAAAACTTTATTTGCTGTTTATATTTGACTTTGGTATCTTTAAAAATGTCTGGAAGAAACTATGCTGAAGATATTGGTAAGATATGAAACATGAATTGATACAAAAATCCAATCTGATTGTAAATATTTTTCTTTATACAGAAACTTTTAAAAACTTCATCTCGGAATTTTGTTCAACAAATAGTGAAGGAAATAAAACCTTTCCTTATGCAGCCCAAATGACTCGTTTAGCGCATCGTGAGCAAATCAACATTACGATTGATCTTGATGACCTTGCAAGCTACGACGAATCATTAGCAGAAGCAATTCAACAGAACACTCGACGCTATGTTAATTTCTTCTCAAATGCTATCCAAGAAATGCTCCCAAACTACAAACAGCGTGATGTTGTTGCCAAAGACTCTCTGGATGTTTACATTGAGCATCGTTTACTAATGCAGGCTCGTACTAGAAATCCAATGAACCAGCATGATCCCAACAATCAATTTCCGGCTGAATTAATGCGTCGGTTTGAAGTATCCTTCAAAACAACCAACATCACTAAAGCTCTCTCAGTACGTGAGATAAAAGCAGAGCATATAGGAAAGCTTATGGTAGTTCGAGGCATTGTTACTCGATGTACTGAAGTTAAACCAATGATGGTTGTTGCAACATACACATGTGACCGTTGTGGTGCTGAAACTTATCAACCAGTTAACTCCATGAACTTTCTACCAGTTTCCGACTGTCCATCTGAAGATTGTCGTGTCAATAAAGCTGGTGGTCGTTTAAATTTACAGACCCGTGGAAGTAAATTTATAAAGTTCCAAGAAATCAAAATTCAAGAACATGTAAATGAAAAGTTTAATTGAATATTTTAGTATTGTATTAAATATCTTAATTTGCTTCTTTTTCAGAGCGATCAAGTACCGGTCGGTCACATTCCTCGAACACTGTCAATATTGTGTCGTGGTGAACAAACCCGATTAACTCAACCAGGCGATCACGTTCTCATCACTGGTGTTTTCTTGCCAAAGCAACGCCATGGTTACCATCAAATGCAAAGTGGATTGTTAAGTGAAACATTTATGGAAGCTCATCGCATTGTTTCACTTAACAAATCAGATGAGCATGAATCACTTTCTAATGATTTAACACAAGATGAAATTCAGGAGCTGTCAAAAGGAGATTTTTATACACGAATTGCAAGCAGCTTAGCTCCTGAAATTTATGGACATTTAGATATTAAGAAAGTTCTCTTATTACTCCTAATCGGTGGTGTTGACAAAAGTCCTGATGGTATGAAAATTCGTGGAAACATTAACGTCTGCTTGATGGGTGATCCTGGAGTTGCGAAATCTCAGCTTTTACGATATATCAGTCGTTTAGCTACGAGATCACAATATACAACGGGACGTGGATCATCAGGTGTTGGTCTCACAGCTGCTGTCATGAAAGATCCACATACTGGTGAAATGACACTGGAAGGCGGTGCTTTGGTGCTTGCAGATCAAGGAGTTTGTTGCATTGATGAATTTGATAAAATGATGGAAACAGATCGAACTGCGATTCATGAAGTTATGGAACAACAAACCATATCGATTGCAAAAGCTGGAATCATGACATGTCTGAATGCTCGAGTTTCAATTTTAGCAGCTGCCAACCCAGCTTTTGGAAGATACAACATCAAGCGATCAATCGAGCAAAATATTCAATTGCCAGCTGCTTTATTGTCTAGATTTGATTTGTTGTGGTTGATTCAAGATAGACCTGATCGTGAGAATGATTTAAGACTCGCTCACCATATTACTTTTGTTCATAGTCACGGTACGCAACCGCAAACAAATATTGAATCTTTAGACATGAATCTGATTCGAAGATACATTGGATTGTGCAAAAGAAAAAGTCCAACAATTCCACTTGAACTAACTGAATATATTGTCAATGCTTATGTTGAATTAAGACGAGAAGCAAGAAACAATCGCGACATGACATTCACTTCTGCTCGAAATTTGCTTGGAATTTTGCGCTTATCTACAGCATTAGCTCGCTTACGTTTAGCTAATAATGTAGAAAAAAGTGATGTCGCAGAAGCTCTGCGTTTGCTTGAGATGTCTAAAGACTCGCTGAATCAAACTAATGATCAACGTCAAATCAATAATATTCACAACACGTCTGATCGTATTTTCGTAATCATTCGTGAATTGGCAGGAAATCAAAAAACTGTCAAAATCTCTGATGTCATGGATCGTTGCACAACAAAAGGATTTAAACCAGATGAAGTTGACAGTTGCATTGAACAATATGAAGAGTTAAATGTTTGGCAGATTAACCAGACCCGGTCTAAAATCACTTTCATTTAATTTATTTTCAAATATTATTTTTAACTACAATTTACTTGTTTTTCTATGCTTAAAAATTAATTAAGTGGCTGATTGCCTAAACTCAAGTTAAGTTAAAAAAGTGTTCCTCGATTGGACACGATTTTAAGGTTTTCCGCAATTGGTCATTCATCCAAAATATTGCAGTTTTTCTTTTATTTTAAATATTGGAAATTTTTTCAAGTTAACATTTTATCTGATTATTGGAAAATAAAATAAAAATGAACACTTTGAAACCTTGGCCAATATTTTGATCTTAATTTTCTACCCATACTAGGTAGTAAGTAAGCCTATAGGCTCACTGGGACAAAAATTACTTTCCTCATCTAAAGTGGTAGACGTTTGTATGGATAATTCTCAGGACAATCTTCTTAAAAAACCAAACAGAAATTTTGTTGCGATGTTTACGAATGTTTCTGAACTACGAAACCTGCAAATGCACATTGAAGTCGATGATAAAAAAATTGAATTTTTGCAGATACTGTTCAGTTGCTCAAGATAATCAATCTGTAAAAAAGAAATCAAATAAAACATTTGTGCTTAAAAATAATTATTTTTTATAATTCGTTTATGACTTTGCGCAACTGTAAGTTCATATTTTCTGAAAAAAATATTAATTTATTTTCTGAGACATCCGATATTGTGTCATCAGCAAATGATGCTTCATGGTGATTGGATTTGTTAAAGACAAAAACAAACATCTCCCCCGAGTTTCATTTGTAATGCAGTAATCATTTCTCTAACATTTTTGAAATCTTTTATTCCTCTTAGTAGTGTATCTTTAGATATATATTTATATATACATTTTACATATTGAGAAAGAAATTTAAACCACAAAACAACTTGAAAAATATTACAAACAGAATTAATATTTTGTAAAAGATAACAGAAGATCAAAAGATCACCGAATACGAATGCAGAAACACACTTAGACTTACACTATAATTAACACTGTCCTTTAAACGTATTTCGGTATCAAAACTTCCATCCTTAGAAGAATTCCGATTCCCACTTGAAGTTGATAAATATTTTTTACGTTTTCACGACTAAATTTTATCTGATGTTACCTTTCATAAAATTTTAATTCTTTTTGTTTTCATCATTCATATAAATTATCATTCTACTGTTCTTTCGATTAAATTCTGATTTGATGATGATAATTGGAGAAATTAAAAATTTGAGATTAACAAAAACCAAGGGTTAATTCATCAGAAAAAATTGACCGACAACACTAAGAAAATTCCAAGAAACTTAGAAGATTCTCGGAAAATAAACATACTTTTGGAGAAGAACTATTTGATGATGAACTTGGGTGAATAAATCATATTGAAAAACTATTACAGTGGAAGAGCGATAAACTTATAAACGTTTGTCTAATTCGCACCACTAAATTTACGAATCGTCGAATTAACAAGTCGTAAACTTTTTGTAAGTAAAAAATCAAGTCGTAAAGAAAAATTAAGCAATAAGAATTGTCTTATTGTTCGACTTGTTACGATTCAATTCAAGCCAAGTCTGTTTATTAGTGGTTCAAAAAAACGAGTTTACGCAACAATTTGTTACGTCGCTGAACTGACTTTGTTCATTGAGCGATTAGTTCATCGCAATTCCACGGTTAGTAATGATTTCATCTACATGTAAATATAACGAAAATCTCAAACTAATGCCTAATAGTTTTAAAGACCCAAAATCAGCATCCCAATTTTTTTAATCACAAGAATTTTACAATGTATCTTTTGTGGATATAGCCTCCAGATCGGATTCAATATTATTTGAAGACGTCGATGATGAATTATTTGATGTTGTATCAATATTCATTTTGATGTTATTTCCGCTTTTTTCGCCTTCGCCTTTTGTTGCGCAATCAACTTGATTAATGCAATTGTCGTTTTCTAGCGATTCCTTCAATAGTAAAGCCATTTTTTTTCTGTTTCCTTGCATTATTTGATTGTTACTTATCGAAGAAATCGACGTAGCTATCGACGAAGGAGATGAAAATGATGTCGTTTGAAGGTCTGGAAGGCTGCTACTTGTATGACTATTTAAATTCTTCTCTATAATTACTGGATTTTCATTGCTATAACAAGTAGCTGGAACATCACTTTTATTATTCGCTGATGTTGATATACACTTTCCAGTTTTTTCATCGAGCTTCACTTGGTAATTTATTTTCTTTATTTCATTGGCAGCTTTTTCTGTATAAGAATGAATTAATTGAGTCATTTTATGTAGAAATATAAATTTTGTTTCTAAATATCTCACCAACACAACTGTCCTTATAATTGTTTCTTCCATAATAAATCTTTGGTCTAGCACCTGTGCTCACAGCTTTCTCCATCCTGTCATGCATTAGAAGAGTCTCATGCTCAACTGAATGACGCGATCTTTGTCGATTTTCATTATGCACTTTTTCCTTCTTTCTTGCTTTGCTACTCCATTCGGTATTTGAGTTTGTTGACGATAGTGACAGTAATGATGTAGTTTTCATATCATTCTGAGATTGTTCACTGGAAGATCCACGAACATTATAGTTTCTGTAATCAGGATCGGGAATAATAAAATTCCCCATTGAAGACTCTTCAGTCTCATCGATATAATCTCTTGCAAATGTCAAATTATTTCTCTTTCCTGGATGATGATTTCTCAACTCAGGTTGACTGACTAAACCATGCCAATCTCCACTATAACTGGCTACCTCAGAATCATTCACTTCTTCGCTGATATAATTGATGTGAATAGGAGATCCTTGAAGTGGTTGTGGACTGAAATGTCCATCATTAGGCGTAAAATACACCGACGCTTTACTTTCATCGAATGATTTGGCGCTAAAATGTTCATGATAATCTCGAGATTTGCAGTCGAGATTTTCTGTTTCAATCTGCGAAAGTTTTTCAATTTTTGTTTTCAGATAAATTTCAAAATCTGAAAGAAAAGTAAAAGTAATGAAAAAATCCAATCTTGTCGCTTCTTTGATATTTACTTTCATCCATTGTCTGATTATCATCGTCGTCATCAACACGACCGCGACAATTTTCAAAATAAAAACTTGGAAGATTCTCGAGAACTTTGTTTAGTGTTTGCTGTTGATATTTGTAGCCTTCTCTTAATCTTAATGCTTGATGGGCACTGAATTTACGAATTTTGTTACGTTGAAACACATAATTTTCACGAACCCAATTTAATTGACCAGTTGAATAATCACGAACACGTCTCACCTATTCAAATATTTTTTTAGTTTAACATTAAAACATTTTAAAAGGAAACTTACTTGATCATTGTATTGATCCCTCATCGAAGAGATATGATGGCTGCCAATATCGCGAATGTCACGAAGATTTTTTGCTTGAGACGAGTAGCTGTTCTGAATCCAATCACATTGTTGAGTACAATTTTCACGAATTTTTGCGACCTTTATAAAACAATTCGTCAGCAAGAGTTTTAACATTTAATTTTGTGAACAAACCTGCTGATTATAATTCTCTCTCAATTTCTCTAACTGCTGACTCTTGTAATGTTCAATGCTATCAAGCATAGCATAAATTTGTCGAGCTTTTGTCTTTGTTTTGTCATTTCTGTAGCATAAAGAACAGCAATTCATACAGATCTTTTCGATGATGCGAAACCGTATGAAAATCTTTCTAATGATTTGAAATATGAGCGTCAATATAAGGAACCCAAGTGCACAAATAGATCCGGTCAACAAAGCGTCCATTTTCACTTGTAGAAAAATAATTGGATCGATGAGTAATCTACATGGAAATAGATGTAAAAGTGGAAAAGATTTATGTGATTAAAACGGAGAAAAATAATGCAAAATAAATTAAACAAAAACAAATAAAATTCTAACTTATGTAGATGTGTGACTAAATACAACAACGTCTTTATTTAGTTGAATTAAATAAAAATTGTTATTCCATCTTCTATTTTCTCGATGAATATTAATTGATATTATAGAGATTAAAGATAATAAGATTGACATTAGAATTTTAAGCTACATCTAAGGACAATCTTCTTTCAGACGATGCAACAATATTTCTAAGTTCTTCTAGTGGATGAATTTCTTTGTATAAAACTTCCACGTTTTCATTTTTTTTAATTCTGGATTCCCAGTTTTTACTTCTTCTAAATGGAGCCAATAAGCGCTCATCAAAAGGCTCACAACCACCTGTGAAGGCACTGACAATGTAGGCTATAATGATGAGTAAAGTTGTTCCAAGAAGTGTGTAATACATGAAGCTAAGCTTAAATACTAGCGGAATATCGTCAACAGACTTCTCATCTATTTCTTTATTAAGGTCTGACAAGAAAGTGATGTTAAAATCTTTTTCACAACCATCGACTCTCGATGCTAGCGGTGGATGTTTCGGTAAGGACTGTGCTCCAATCATGATAATTCCAACAACGATCATTGATCCAACTGCACCACAAATCACTCCTTTTGTATTGACATAACGTGACATCATGCCAATTGTAAATAATCCTAAAAGAGCTCCTGCTGTGAGTCCCGATACTGCTATTGAAATTCTAAACACTTGGCCCATATGCTCGACAACAAATACCAGTGAAAGTATTAAAATTCCTAAAATAACAACCAGAAGCTTCATTACATCACTGACACGTTTTTCAGATGCCTTTGGATAGTGACACCGAATAAAATCTTCGTAAATGGTGCCAGCTAAAGTATTCAGACCAGAAGACATTGATGAAAGTGCAGCTGAAAAAATTCCAGCAATAAAAACTCCAGGCAAACCGGGAATTTTTCCAGCAACTTCCATTACAAAAAATGGAAGTATTTGATCGACCTTATCTATTTGTTTCATTGCGATAGGATCGCATTCTTCATATTTCGCATACATGATAAGACCGACAATGCAAGAAGCGCCTTTTATAAATATCAAGCCAAACACAAAGATCCAAACAGACTTTTTAGCGAACTTTATATCAGGAACAGCAAGAAATCTTTGAATACACGTCTGACTGACGCCAAGGTTAGAGATCCATAAGGTTGTTAAACCAATTGAAACCGTCCAAAATGATGATCGAACGAAAGGATTCGGGTCCATACTGACAAAATAAATAGAATTATAAATCTGCAAGGCCAAACTATATCAAATTATCTACTTAAAAAAGATTATTCTCTCGCCACGATTAGCTGCTTTCCATACATTTTCAACTCCACCAGTCGTATCTAAGCCTAGAAATATAACGCAACATATCGCACCAATCATAACAAGAAACTGAAGTGTATCAGTCCAAACTACAGCTTTAAGACCTCCGACTGTCGTGTAGAATATACAAATTATACTTGTGATCAAAGTGATAATATGAAGGTTGATTCCTGAAACTTGACTGAATGCAAGCGCTGGCACATAGACAATGATCGGTACAAAAATGATGACTGATATTGCGTAAATACAGCTTGCAGTCAAACGCACGCTCTTGTCGAACCGGAGCTCAAGATATTGAAATGAAGAAGTTAATTGCAGTTCATAGAAGACCGGAAGATAAATATAAATCAATGCAAAACCAACAGTAAAGGCTGATACAATCATGACGGAATATTGTGTCCCATATGCATACATTTCTGCTGGAATGGACATCAACGTAATTCCACTAATATGACTTGCAATTAAAGAAGCTGCGATAGGAAAGAAATTCATCTTCTTCCCTCCTAACAAATATTCTTCTGTATTGTTTTGTTTCTTTTTCGAAATAAATCCAAAATAAATTCCAATTAGGGCTGAAAAAATAATTAAAAGCCTAGAAAACTTCCATGTTTGCTTCAACGAAAATAATTAATTTCCCACCTGACATTGCCAACATTATGAAAAACACGGTGTAGTCAACATTAGAGAAGCGCATCCCCTTCATTGTCCCATGACTTTCATCACGTGACTCATTTGAAACTATTTCTGTGATTTTTGTAAGGAGTGAAGGATTCACTGAATTTGTTGTAGATTTTGTAACGGCTTCCGATACTGTCTGCGACGAAACATCCTTTATTCCCTCCATGATCACACTTTCAGTGAAACTCTTCCACTTAATTCAGATATCTTATGACTACTAAGAATTATGTTTTGTCATATTATATAAACCTAATATCATTGTTCATACATTTCAATTAGATAAGTGGATATGTAGAGAACACTTTCTGATTTATGAATTGAACAAATAAAAGACTAAGTTATAAAGAAGGTTAAAGCAAGAAATAAAGAGAGTAGAAATAATTTTAAGACAACATGTTAAATAATGAATATAATTACGGCGCCTCGTCATTTTTAGTTCTAAAATAAATATCAGAACGGATAATTAAAAGCACGATAAAATAAGAATGGGCGAGGGCTTCATTTAACAACTTTCATTTAATGGCCACAGTCTGGCAAAGGTAGCGGGCTGTGGTCATCAAATTATTTGATGAAGTCTTTGTGATATTCGAAAATCGAAGATTCTTCAAAATGTTAAATTAATTGAGATTTAGTTTTATGGTAGTTCGGTAGGATCACGAAAAAGTGAAAATCATTGCAAACAACACGCAAGCTGATAATATTAACATTAAAAAATTACTCACCTAACATCATTTGTCGAATTGCCCATAATATTGACTGCAAAACAAGAGTAAAGTCCACTGTCCAATCTTGATATATTTTGAACTTTCAAACGTCCATTTTCGAGTAACGTTATGCCATGTCCTTGTCGATGTTTTTCACTTAAATTCTTTGATTGCATAGAATTTTCAATGACTTCGTGATATCTCAAATTTATGAGGGTATCTTTAAGAACCGAATGATGGAGTTGTTCAAGTTGAAGTCTAGTTGAGAAACTTGTAGGGACATTTTCATTCAGTCGAAGAATTTCTCCATGTGGTGTTCTCCATACGATTTCTGGTGCCGGAATTCCAGCGAAACTGCACTCGAGAATGACATCAGTGAATATTTGATATTCCTGATCTTTAGTTGCATAGATTAAATAGGGTTTCACGCAATTTATATGTTGCAATACCCGAATGATGTCACCCGGATAACCGTTTCTGCATTTAAGTTCTGAAAGTCTTAGGAGCTCGTAAGGTAATGTTTGATTTTTTAGTTTTAGTTCATCAATCCAACTTATCATCCAAAACATATGACAATCGCATTGAAGATCATTCCCTAGGAGGTTTAGCAATTGAAGTTCATTTAAGTATTTTATACCTTGCGGTATGAACTCCAAACGATTATCAGACAAGTCAAGTTCCACCAAATTTTTCATTTTATCGATTCCTTGTGGCCAGGAACATATTTGACTTTTCGTTATGTAAAGTCTCTCAACATTCCTCATATTTTGGAGAAAACATGACTCGACATCAGTCAGATGTGTGCTGTTTTTTAAGGAAACATATTTTAAATTATTCAGAATTTGTGTATTGATTGTTTCGTTTGTGTTACTCCTACTGATCCAATTGCTGAGCTTAGTAAGGTGAGTGTTGTCTATTCTCAAATCACTCAATTCATACTGATGAGCAAAAATGCCAATTGGTAGATTTATCAATTTATTATTACTCAAGTCAAGTGAATGTAATTGCTTCAAAGACAGAAAAACGTTTGCTGAGAGTAATTGAATCTGATTATTTGCGAGATTTAAGAACTTTAATGCATCGAGAGTGTCAAATGCATTACGATCAACTGTGAAAAGATCATTATAGGAAAGATCGAGTGCGTTAAGAACCTTCAAACCGTACAATGAATTCTTGTTGATTTTTGCAATCCTATTGTGGTCCAATTTAAGAACTTTCATCTTTGTATTGTGAACGAAAAAATTGTCGAGGAATGAAATGAGCATGTTATATGATAGATCAACCACTTCAACTGATTTCATACTTTCAAACACTTGATATGGTAAAATATAAAGTTTATTATTTGACATGTTAATCTTAATAAGACTGTCCAATCCATTGAACATATGACGTTCGATATTGTTAATTGTGTTATTTGAAAGATCAAGAATAGTGAGTTGTTTCAGATTGTGAAAAACTTCATCACTCTTACTAAAGTTTGTGAGTTTGTTACTACCCAAATATAATTCATTTAGATTATGAAGATCTTCGAACATTCCGCTGTCATCCAATTGTTTAATGTGATTATGAGAGAGATTTAAAACACGAAGTTGAGGAGTCTTTTTAAAAGTTTTTCGATTCAGTTTTTCTATTCGATTGCCATTCACATCCAGTACCTTGAGTCCAATCCAGTTTCTCTCTTGGAATATTTTTTGAAGCTGCTCATCCATTAATTCACTATTGGCATACTTTATAATTTCAGTCTGTTGCTCACTAATCACTGTTAGTTCGTCTGATGTTTTTATTTTTACATTTTCTAGTATGACTCCTTTATAAATAACATCGGAGACATGCTTATCACGATTGATATCTGCAACTGTGATATTATTACATCGAAGAAATTTTAGTTTATTTTTATTATGCGGAAATTCTTGGTAGTCATAAAATTCATTATTTGAAATAGAAATTTTACAACCTTGAATATTTCCCACCGAGTACGATGATGAAGACGTTATTAAACCCAGTTGAGTTGTTTTGCTAACACATAAGGTCAACATTAAAATTTTCAACATAAAAGATATTTGCTCCGATCCTCGCTGCTTATTATTAGCTTGACCCATGCTTGAATTATTTCTTCTTCCTTTGCACTTTGTAATCTCATAAAATCAAATATTTCTTGCTCATTCAATTCCACAGTTTAATGCATAAAATCAGGAACATTTTCAGCTTCGTATTAAGAATGTTAAATTATTTTCTTGAACATTTGCTTTATGTTGGAGCATTTTCTATAAACGAATCTAGAAAAAAGAAAAAAATATTTATTTAATATATTTAAATGTGTGAAGACAACATTTCAATTATTAAATGAATTTCGAGAATTAAGCTCATTTCTAATGCTTGAAAATATGTATGCACGAAATATTTTAAACTATTGTAATAAAAAGAGTCCCACATATCATTAAGTTTAGTCTAGCAATTTGAAGTGTGTAATCAACGATGGAACTTCTATAAAATTTTTATTTTATTATCCGCTAAGTCTTAATATTCATACAATGTTTTTAATTCCATACAGGAACCAACATGGCGATCACTTACTACATAAATAAATAAACTTAAGAAATAAAGCTATACGAATTTATATTCATATCTGTTATTGTTTAAAATTATTTCAAACGAGTTTATTAGCAAGTTGTAATTTAGAACATTTCATTATCTAAGTAAAATCTGAATCATAATTAAACTTTTCCAAATTTGTCTGTCAAACTGATAGAGACATAAATAAACAGAGATATATAATGATGAGCCAAATGAGCTAGTGAGCCACAAGTGAACAAGCTGACTATGGATAAAATCCTTGTTTAAAACCAATTCCTTAAGTCAACTTCTGTCATTACCTTCTATTCAAATTTGCTACGTATTATGATGATTGATTTGGTATCCGAATTAATTTTGTTCTTTACTACTTTGTTCTTTAAAACCTCCATAGCCATACAATGCAGTGACAAATACCAAGAATTTTGCTATTAGCAGAACAACCCAATTTCCTAAATTGAAAGTCAAAAGTGACTGTGCAATGGACGATTTGCTGATAATATCTTTTATAAATTTTGTCGAAAATTGATTAATTTGATTTGTATTGAGTCTCTTCTTTTTTACTATCACTGGGTTTGGAAACTTATTACCAAAAAAATTGTCAACTGAAGGCTCTTGTTGGTGATTGGGTTGACTGAGTGATGAAAATTCTTTATTTATTATTTGTTTATTATAACATAAACTTAATTCAATTATAGAAAAAAGAAAAACTATTTGAATTTTCTTAAAGCAAAAAGTCATTATGAAAACAACTGAAAATTTTGAGAAAGACTGACAAGCGCTTGAAAAAATAGCAAATATTTATAGAATTTGACAAAAGCTTTCATAATGCAAATTTCATTTTCTATGTGTTCAAAAGCATATTTATTTTTTACTATTTTTCAACACTTTAACAACATTTTTCTTCTTAAAGTGTTTTCAATCCGTTTAAAAAAATCTATGATTTTCAAGGCAATTTAATAACAAATGATTCTATTGTTATGTCATTTAAATACTTTATTCACACTTAGCTCCACACATTCAACTTTCTTATAAAACAAAAAGTAGAAAAAATCTTTTCCGTGGAATGTTATGAATGTCATAATTTCCCAAATGTTTAATCAATTTATTACCATGAACCTGTTAAAGAAATGTTTTGTCAACTTATCCACAAATTGCCTTATTGTCGATAAGACGCAAGCTTCCTTGTGCAAGTCAGTCTTACGAGTGCAGAATGGTGTATTGAGCACCAACATTGTCTCAACATCTTAAATTATCTACTTCACTTAATCATTATATGAAAATGGAAAATTTCTTCTTCGCATCTATTTATTTTAACATGTCAAAGGAAGTCAGAGACTCATCATTTTATCCACAGAAATCTGGAGTTGACACATTCCAGTAAACGAAAATAAACCTCAAAACACTGCATCTCCACGAAAATTCTAGGTAGGAATGTTTTCTTTAAATTTTCTTAAAATTTCATTTTGAATAAATTCTGGGATTTTCAAATTTTGTTTTGAAATGCGTAAAAAGTAAAATCACTGAAAACACGACATTTTCTTACTTTAGGACTTTTATCGTGTTACAAACAAGCTGTTCTTTTTAATGAAATTCTACGCAGTTTAGATAAATTTGAGGTTCTTTTGTAGGTATTTCAATTCGATTGATTTATTTGATTACGTCTCCACATAGTATGAAACTTTTGCTTTTTATTGCGAAAATTCATTTGATATGATGATCACCGTTTTAACAATAAGTCGACCCGGAAGAGAAATATAAAATTGCATTATTGCAACATATACTCAAGCATTAGAAATAATCAATAAATTTAAATTTTAAATAATTTACGCTTTCAAAATTAATACAGTGCGCGCTTCATGAATGCAAACCGAAAGGAATCACAAATATAGAACTTTTTCATTCATAATACATATCTAAATCTTGAGCAATTTTTTTATGTTAATTTCACTTATTGAATGTTTGCACTTATAAAACTTCAATTTATGGAGCGCCCACTGTAGTATTTATGTAAAAAGAGAAAATTATGTTTCTAAATAATCAGTTTTGATTATATTATTCATGTGCAAGTAAGTTTTAAACATAAATTAAACAACCTTTTATATTACTATTTACGCATTGTTATTAGTTGAAATAGTCTTAAAGCACCTTTTCTTCAATTCATTTAAAATAATTTTCTTTTATTGTGTCTTGATTATCCGAGATATATTTTAGTGAATGGTATTTTGAGCATTGTTATTCACATAATTTCCTTTTATATATAAACTAATAATGATTCTGAACTTATCAATATTTTCTTTTCCACTATAGTATCTTTTGTTCTTGACAAAATTACTTTTTTACACGTTTGGTATTTTTTTCATAATTTACCATTTTTAATTTTGAAATCGGTTATGTCGAGAGTAAATCGGGTATAGTCGTAAGGGGAAGTTTTTTTCGAATAACAATAGGAAAGAATTCATTCCCTTGTTTAAAAGCTTAACCGTCAATTTTTTGAGGATTCTCAATGTTTTTGACTTGGCATCTTACACTGTTGTTTGTTTTGTTTTCATATATCTACTTATGTTTTACAGAAATTCTTTGATTTCTACCTAAGGGAACGTCAGAGAGTCTCGATCTATTAGTTATTCACAGATTTTCACCAGTGTTTTTAATCATTCATTGATCATCAATTGAAAGAATATTAGCTTTGAAATTACAGAAGGTAAGAATTATTTATTTTAGAATTTAAGATTTTTATATTTAACATTAATCGTTATTTGGGTTTAAGTCAGGTTTTTCATGAAAAGAACTCGCATCGGAAAACCATATCTTGAGTTTGTCCATTTGGATAAAGTCTAGTTTATTAAATATATCAAAATTGTATTCTTTATTATTTAAGATTTTAATAAGAATTAATCTTTCTCTTTAAATTTTTACACTAAATAAAATGAATGAAGCGCATCAAACCGGTGATCAATTAATTTCCATCATTGAGTGGAGATTGCATACTAAAGTAAGGCTGCGGAATTTTTCTTATCTCATTTTTAACTTTTTTTATACTTTAAGATTGCATCAAAGTTATTTCTTCCAGTCATAGCTGATACGAGAGTAACTACGAAAATTCAGACTATCACGAAGAGGTTGCACAATTCATCTGAATCTTGTTCCACTTCATCCGAAATCTCTGCTGATACGGAAAAGAAAAACCTTTCTGTTCAAATGACATTAGTTAATCTAAAGCAAATAATTTCTCAGTTGGAACTATCAAAAATGTCGTGATTTCAATGTGATGACTTTATAAAGTGATTAACACACATGGTAAAAAAAAGTTTTATAAAAAAGTTTTTAGTTATTTGTGTATTAAGCTACCTACTTAAAGGAAAGAACTCAAAATGATTATAAAGAATGATAAAAATAAATATAAATAGAAAGCTTTTATAAAAGCTCTTTAAGCAAGGTTTAATTTCTTAAGATTATCCTATAAAGTCCCTATGACTCACCTTTGTAACTCTCTAAACTTAAGAATTGTTCCATGTTTTGGATATAAAAAAATAAACGAAAGATTATTTTAATTTCATACTCTAAATGTATTTTTATTTAACTAACATCTGTCTGTTACAGTGGAAAAGCGCATAATTTCACTTTTTTAAAAAATAACGCAAGTTAAAAATAATTTAAGATTCTACAACATTTGAAGGCATACTCTGTAATTAACATTAAATTTCTTTTCCTGTATTATTACAAAAGAAAATTGCGAGTCTTTATTATTTTTCCAACTTTTTCTTTTGATTAACTGGTGTAGAAGTTCGCAATTTATCATATTCCGATGTTTCTTCGTCCTTCATGTTTGAGTCCGATTGAGTGCTATTTGCATTAAGAAGTGATCTCATAAACTGACTACTGAGTGATGATGATGAGTTTGATTTGTCATCCTTAGTCTTCTTTATTAATTCGCGTGCAAGAAACTCTTTCAAATTCATTGGCTGATCAAAACAGGAAGATGAAGTAGACGAAGATTTTAGATCACTTTCTTTTGATTTAATTTCAGCTTCTAACTTATTCGAACTCGTTTTGTCAAATTCCATACTTGAACTTATCAGTGTACCTTCGGGATTTTCATTTTCTGTTATTTTTCCAGTGATTTGATATTCGTTTTCGTGTGTCTCAAAAATTAAGTTACTTTCACTTTGTTGATAACTTATGTTCGCGCTTTCAAATGGTTTTTCAATGATTTTTCTCTTCTTCAATTCTTCTTCAATATCAATAATGGAAGAAGAGCTCGATGATGATACGCATGATTTATCTTTGGAAATTTCTCCTATGTCGTAATCCTTTGGATGAACAAAAGACTTCACCTGAAGATCCTTGTTTATGTCATTAATTTCATTTATTAACATAGGCAAGGATTGATTTTGTGATGCACAGGAAGTTGAAATCAAGAACTGCTGAAGATTCGTCGCGTATTGCTCATAATTTGGAAAAGATTTCACTTTCAATTCTTCAATGTTTTCATGAATATTTGTTTTACTTGCTACTGGTGTTTCAACTTCAACAATCGTAGACAACTCATAACGTTCAAGTGGCATGTCATGCTTCGGACTAAAGCGATTAGAATAAAATTGCTGCTTTGACAATTTATCAAATTTTCCTTCTAAGCTTTTTGAATATAAGAAATCCTTGCCCATTTCAGCTGAAGGAAAACTAAAAGCTGGCACTTTTAAATGTTTCGTTTGATTTGATGTTATAGGTTGAAATGAATTTTCTCGATCATCTGAATTCAAACGACTTTCGGGTGAGTCACGAAAATCAGATGATGTTAGGGGACGGGATATAACGGAAATGCCTGAATCCTTACTCACACCAAATGAGCGCGTTTGTTTTTGAAGATTATTATTAACTTCCTCTGATGGTGGATCATCACACTTCATATTCGCATTTTTCATTTCACTTCCTGATGTATCTTGAGATTTAGACTTTGGAATAAGAATCTCCTTGTACGTAGTATTATGCCCAAATTCACTGCTCGAAATTGAATATTCAATGAGTTTTAATTTCTCCCGACGAACGCTTTCCATTTGTTGAGCCAATTCATTAATCCTTCTTTGACAATTTGCAGTATATTCAGCATAATTATTTAACATATGAGACTCTACATGTTTGGCAACACTTAAGATGTCAAAAGGCGTTATCAATGGTTTTTCTTTCTCTTTAGAAGTTGTCTGCTTTGGCAAGTTTTTATCTCCATTGCTTTGCGATTCTTTCTTATCATTTTTATGCGAATATTTTGATTTATTTGGATGAGGTAAAAGTTTTTTCTTATCAAAAATGTTCTTCCAAATATTTTCAACCTTTAAGGTGTCGTCATCGTTATGTTGTTTGTGAGAAAGAGTTTCATTTATTTCACGTAAGAAACTATAATTATCGTTAATAAACTGTTGAAGTTTCTTTAAATGATTTTGATCAAATGGCGGCGTTAGATTACCAGAAGAACTTCCGTCATTTTCAATTGTGTTCAATATAGAGCTTTCTGGAGTATTGATTGAACTGATGCTAACATCTAGACGGTTTCCAACATTCTTATTCATTCCAAGCAATCTTGTGATGTAATGCAACAACGTTGGATTCAATTTAGACTCAGACTGAGGTTCGACATTTAAATGAATTTGTTCTGGTAGTGATTGATAAGTTGTTGAAACTGACTGAGAAGAGTCAGAAGACTTATTGAAGACTTTTGGAGTAATAAGTTCTTCACGATTTTTCAGAATGGGACTGAAAGGCTCAAACAATGATAACGTGGTTTGAGTTTCTTTTTGAGAATTGCGCGTTTTTTTTCTATGGTCTTTATAGGGCTCTGTTTGAACAACCGTCTCTGTTTTATTATCTGTCTCTGTTTGATCAACCTTCCCTGCTTTATTAACTGGCTTTGTTTTTTTTACTGTCTCTGTTTGATCAACCTTTTCTGTTTGATCAACCGTCTCAATTTTCTTTTTTATTTTTGCAAAGTTTTTTCTAGGCGAACGTTGAACAGAATCATAATTAACTTTTTTTGTGTCAGCTAATGGCGGTTGCTCAATTCTTATGTTAATTTCAATCGGATGGATAACAGTGGAAGCTTTTTCTCCACAGGAAGTTTCAACAGAAGTTTTTACAGTTTTCTTGTATGTTGTTAAAATATCTTTGATTTTGTCCTCCAACATCTTTTCTCGTTCCGCAATCTTTTGTTTCTTTATTTGTAAACATTCATTTTCGCTTTTGTTTTCAGATTGTTCAACATGAAGATCCGTTTCAATGGAATTTATGACATTTTTGTCTTCTTTTAATTTTTTGAGAGACTGGAAAAGTTGATTTTTTAACTCACTTCCAGCATTATTATTCTGTTCAGTAGCTTGAATTTTCTTTTGTGCGTTTCTATTACGTATATCGCCAGTACTTTCAATGTTTAACATATCTAACCATGCAACATTAAAATCTTGAGCCTCATTTTTCTCACTTGAATCAGATTGACACATTATTATGCTTCCTGATAATGCTTTGTCAAATGCATGATTTTTTCGCAGCTCTCGATTCATGTCTTGCTTTTTTAAGTGAGTCAGCGATGTGCTTTTCAGAGCCTTTAATAAAATTAAATAATAACATAATGATTATATTCGAATTCATGTTTTATTTACCTTTTCAGATGTTCTTCCTTTGTAATCGTGACTGTAAATGTCTTCAAGTTCTTGTTGGAGGCATTCATAATCCCTTCTTATGCTTTCTTTTCTTAGCGCATTATCGGTTTGAATGTTATTTTGTTGTCTGTAAAAATATGAAAAGAGTTAGGTATTACAAAGACTTTGATCATGGTAAATAAAATGATTTTACTTGACGTCTTTATTGCTGATTTTTGATTTTGTTGTTTTTTCCTGCTGGGGGTTATTAAATCGACAAACCGGATCCTGATTTCTTTTCTTTACTTTGCCTGTTGTAATGATATCATTACCAGGTTGATACTGTTTTGTGAACTTTTTGCTAAAATCAACATATTTAACAGAATTGTTTTTAACGAAATTCTCTGAAGAAACTTTTGATTTCAGTGGTTTTGAATTTTTGAGAATGCTTTTTGTTTCCATTCGGCAATCATTTTCTAAATGTATGTCAGATTCATTACTTAATGAGGAATGTGAAGAAGTACTGAATATTTTTACTCTCTTTCTTGCTACTTGCTCACAATTTAAATTAGTGATTTTTAACAGATTCGTTATTTGATCAAACTCCTCGTAATCGCATGATTCACTATTATCCTTGTTATCACATTCGATTTCAGAACTCTTTGATGAGTCTAAAGAGGAATCAACAGAATTTGAACGAAAGTAGTTTGGATTATAAGATGAACGAATTGGAATGTTGTCAGAAAAATCTTTTCTTGATTTCTCCTTCGATACAGATCTACAAAGATCATCATGAGAAATGGAATTACGAACAGAAAAAACTTCATTAAGAGGCATGGAATCAGCTTGAGTTGACTTATTCAGGGAAAGATTCCTCTTTCTCGCTAACTTCTTCTCAGATTTTTGCCTTTGTTTTCCTGCATCCTTTAACATTTTATAGTGACCACTTTCCGTGACAATAAAATCGTTTTCATTCGTTATGTTATGAGCAATGTCTTTTTCGCAACTACTCTCACAAGTTTCAACTTGTACTTCTCCAAAATCATATAAATCCTTTTTGAATTTATCCCCAATTTTAGAGACTTGTGAATTTTTTAAATCTTCTAATTCCTTCAATTTTTTTTCCAAAGTTTGTTGAATTTGATTTCTCCTTTCACCTTGAACTTTAGTTAGAACTTCTTTTGCTATTTCTTTTGATTGGTGTCTGACCTTGGAAAAATAAAGAAACTAATTTTGAGCATGCAAGCTTAATTGTTTACATTTTTTTAATGCCTACTTTGTTTTGCTCTAAAGTTGTACTTACTTGATTTATGCGAGCTTTTCTTTTGTTTTCAATCCCAGCTCGTTTGGTATAATTCAACACAAAATTATTCATGTTATATAATCAAGAAAATCATTTGTTACCACGTATTTAAAAAAAGGACCAAACTATGAAAACAAGAAATCAAAACTTTCGTAATTTAACGGAAATCAAGAGGGGTATAATTCTCAAAGCTTAATACCCCCCTCCCTTGCATCTTTTTCTCAAAGGGTGTCAATCTACTACAAATTTGAATCACAGCTCATAGAACGAAAATACGTTACAGTTATTCACTTGTAAATAGGTATACCTACAAATAAATACGTCAGGATCTTCCAGGATTTTTAAAATAATAAGGTTGTCAACATAGAATATTATTAACTAGGTATTCCAGATAAAATTCTTCCGCTTATGTTTTACGAATTTGCAAATAACTTGGTGCCGGCATGTGAATGTCTACCGCTTTAGGCTTGTGTGTCTTCCACTATAAATCTGAAATACCTAATTAATCTGAAATAAACAGTCCGTTGACATATTTTCTTTCATATTTTTATTTTCCCCTCTAAATATTTATATCAAAAATTATCTTTGCGAATTAAGTTCGAGCGACTAAGATTTTGTCTGATTATCTAAACATTTTGTTTACAATTCTATTTACATTTTTTACAATTTTATTCTTTTAACAATTCTATTTACAATTTTTATCTTCCTTTTATCTTTCACAGATATCAACTGTTTTAATGGGAAATCCATCTGACGACCCATCTATTAATGACCCACCAGGTGGTCCATCTGGTAATGAATTAATTAATGATCTATCTGGTGATGAAAAAATACGACAAGTCTTGGACCAAATAAAAAGTTTATCAGGAAACATTGGACGAGTCTTAAAAGGGGAAAAAAATCAGGTTCTTACCCGTAATGATATTATTGTATGGTACATTGACTGCTTGAGACTTGCAACATCAGACCAGCACTACAACAATGTCACCGATTGTGCTAATACCTCCGAACCCACATCTTTATCCCCAATTGAGCAGTTATTGAAGGTCCCCGAACGACGTCGCCGCGTGGGAAACAAAATATTCAAGATGAAAATTTGTGGTGTTATGACGACGTCAGAGATCTTAGCTTCATACAAGAAGTATGAAGAGGAAAAAGAGAATGATGAACTGAAGAAGTTGGAACGAAAGAAGGCAGCTGCTGAAGTTAAAAAGCGTGTCCTCGAAATGAAAAAGGGAGACCACTCTGGTGACAAAAAGAATAGAGGACGACCAAAGTTAGAGAGACGAAGACCGCTATAAATCTGAAATAAATCAGTCCGTTGACGTATTTTCTTTTATATTAACTCTTCAGTCTTTCATATTTTTATTTTCCCCTCTCAATATTCATATCAAAAAATTATCTTTTGCGAATTAAGTTCGAGCAACTACGAATTTGTCTGATTAGTTCATTATCATTTGTTTCACTATTAATCCTATTTCTCATTCGTCTTAGATCAGGTAGATGTTGATTATCCTTTATATTCAGTAGTTCTGAGAATATATCACTCCAAATTCTTTTATTCAGATATCTAAAAATATGAAAATGAGTTATGCAAATAAAAATACCAAAAACAAATTAATTTTGTATCTTGGAAACTTTTGTTTAATTTCCCAAACGCCAAACTTCTTATTCACTTTATATTTTCAAAATATTTACGGAGGCCCCACTTTGGTGAAGGTCACCGTATTGTATTCGACATTTTTTTTTGGAAAATTTTTTTTGCTTAAATATGCTTAAAATAGCATGAAACGTCGAGAAAAGTGGAAAAAATGGACTTCCATTTTTCCGTCGCCTTTCAACCCTGTCTGTCTGTCTGTCTGTCTGTATGTATGTCTGTCTGTAACTTTTTTTTTGTTAACTTTTCTGAGAATTCTTATCAGGAATTTTTCTGAGAATTCTTATCAGGAATTTTTCTGAGAATTCTTATCAAGAATTTTTCTGAGAATTCTTTCTACAGTATTTCCGAGAATTCTTTTGAATAGGACGATCGGTGCGCGTGTGGGAGAGTGAGTGGAAGACCAAGGACAGTCGGAAGGTCCATGGACAGTCGGAAGGTCCATGGACAGTCGGAAGGTCCATGGACAGTCGGAAAGGCCATGGACAGNTGATTATCCTTTATATTCAGTAGTTCTGAGAATATATCACTCCAAATTCTTTTATTCAGATATCTAAAAATATGAAAATGAGTTATGCAATTAAGAATACCAAAAAAAAAAAATTTTTACCTTGGAAACTTTTGTTTAATTTCCCAAACGCCAAACTTCTTATTCACTTGCATATATTCTCCAAATAACATGACATGTATGGTTCCTGCGACACAAAATAAATCTGTTTGATAGGACCAAGGTCGGCCTTCAAGCATTTCAGTGCAAGTAAAACCATCTGTTTGAATCATCTAAATGGGAGTAATCAAATAATATAAAGATATGAAGTCAAACTTTTAACATGTCAATAGAAAATGGGAAATTACCTTCTTAAATTCTGTATTTTTTGGAAATAACTTCATATCAATTGCGCATCCAAAATCAATTAATCTCAAGCTTGGTACATAAGTTTCAGGTGATGGTCTAAGAAATCAAAAAAGGCGTTACAGTAAAAAAAAAACTTTAATAACAAACTTTTACTTACAATGACATAAGCAAAAAATTGTCAGGTTTTATATCAGCATGAATTATACTACACGAATGCAAATGTGAAACAATGTTTAAGATTTGGCTTGAGAAATGCATCACTAGACTCTCATGCATGACTTTTGTTGTCGCTTGACGAATTCTATTATTTACATCCAGCAATGATCCATAGTGAGAAAATTCCGAAATAAGAATACTTGCATTAGGCGCTATAAGAGCTGCTGAGATAGACATGAATCCAGGTAACTGCGTAAAGAAAAATAGAACAAAAAATGACATTATTATCAATTACTTATAATTTAGTAAATTTATCTCACAATTTCAATGTTTTCCAATCTTTTCTTGACTTCCATACAAATGTACAACTCCCACGAGTTCGGTGGTTTTTGGTATTTCAGTGCTACAACAGATCCGTTGCATGTATTGACACCGCTTTAGAATGATAATAAAAAATGTGTTAGTGTAATGATATGATTGGGAAGGAAGCAAATATCGTCTTACCGGTAAACAGCACCATAAGATCCCCGTCCCACCTCTTTCTCTATCTGATAGTTAACACCACCCAATGGAACAACGTGATTTTTACTCAATTTTGGTAAGTTTGTGTTTGAGATTTTGTAATCCGATACGTTTTCTCGATTCGGAAAGTTCAATTTAACAAGAAAAGCTTTACAAAGTTCCGAGTTAAATGGATCGATATCAGATTTATTCAAATGGTCATCAATCAATGTTAGAGCTTTGACTATTCTTTTCCCTTTGAATTCTTCGTCATTTTCAGCTTGGAAGAATGAATTCTGATCTCCATATGAAGAAGAGCAAATGCTGTCGTCATTCTGAACTGATAAAAGCGATTCTTTTTTCTTCAGAAATTTATAACTATTGACGGATGATGAAATTTTATTTGACGGTTTTTTTCCAGTTGAAACACATCCATTAAATGAAATATTTCCAAATGAAGCATTTCCATCACTATTTGCCGTAGATGAACAACTGTTGGTTGCACTTGGCATAAACTGTGTGTTGTCACCTTCGAATGTGTTTAAAATTTCTGTTTGAAAGATTTGTTTCTTTGACTTAGTACTTTCGGTTGATGACGAAGAAATTACCACCGGATCTGAAGAACTTTTGTTTGAAGGGGTTGCAGAATAATTTCGATGAAATAATGACGACTCGGAATTGGATTCTGAACTTAAAATTGTTGAAGTCTTCTCTTTACGAAATTTTATGGTAATCTTTTTATCACGAGACTTTCCATTAGATGAGAAGCTAATTGTACTGGCTTCTATTTGTTCCTCGAGGTCATTAAGCATATATGAGTTAACTAATGGAGCTGGTCCATTATAGGGCTCTTCATCAGAATCTTCGCTGCTAGAATCTTCTTTGTTATCATTAAGTTCTTCAGTTTGTTCGATTATTGGTTGTTGTAGCATTTCAGGATCAATCTCAGCTTGATGATCAATCAAATATTCAACATCTTGGTAGTCTGGTAATCTTGACTGCATGCCTAAAACTTCGTTGGTATTTGTAGGTAGCACATTAGTTGGAGATGAAATATGACCAATAGGATTCTGAGGATAACTTTCAATTGCCGCTTGATGATATGTTTGATAAGAATTATTGAAATTATTGTTATCAGGATAACGCTGAGAGTGTGAAGGGACAACAGCTTGTAAATAATAAGGATTTGCATTTTGGGATTGTGTTAATTGTTGAGTTTCGCATTCATTCGTAACCAATTGTTGGTGGTGAAAATCTGGTGGAATATTGTAGTCTGATGAGTTATGAAAATTTGGAGAAATATTTTGATAAGTTTGTTGATAATGAGTCTGATATCGATGGTTATTAGAATTATCATAATTCTGTTGATAATATGTCATATAATTCAAAGCATTTTGATCGCTGTTATTCCACATTTGACTTGATTGTTGTTGGTAAGGTAGTTGTGGATGTTGATAAGTTTCTCGTTGAACTTCTTCTTGTCCTTTCCGAAAACTTAATTGGTCAATCTGTGATTGATCTTCCTCTTGTTTCTTTCTTATTTTCTCTTGCTCTTCCATAAATGTTTTAGTTTCAAAGTCTTGTCGTCTTTCCTGTTCCTGTCGATTCCCATTTTTATTTCTGCTTTCTGCTTTGGAATACCATTTAAGTGCTTTAAGTTCTTCTAAGCTGTATTCTTCTCCGTCACCTGCATAAACTAGATGCTTAGGATAAAAACAGCGTTGGTTAGGATCATAAGATTCTTCCAGATACAACTGTGCACGCCAAGGTTCATGAGAGTTCTTGGCGAAGTTAAAGAAATATCGAGGAGTTTGAAATCCACTATCAAAAACTGAATTTGCAGCCGGTTGTTGTAGGCTGTATTGTTCTTCACAAGATCCATAAACATGTGATTCGCTATAGACATAATTCAAAGATGAGCTAATCACGTATCCTGGATCCAATGTGTTGCTAGCGTAATTATATTCTAACGGTGATGACGATGACGATGACGAGTACTTTTCATTCTTTGAGTTCGCTATCGATTGACTGTTAAATCTATAGAGATCTTCACCTGAACTTAGTTTGACTTTTTTCGAAGGTTGAGTAACTTGAAGCTGATGAGGTGATAAAGAAGTAATTTTTTGTCTTTGCTCTGCTAATGAAGAAATTGTTCTTTTTTTAGAGCTTTCATCATTATACAGCGTTCGTTGCGCTACTGAATAACGAAAATGTTTTTGAGCATTTTCGAGTTCCACAATTGGTTGAGCCTTAAGCTGAACTCCAAGATTGAATATTGATTCAGCCTGTTTCAGTAGATTCTCGGAATTATAATAATGGGCCCATCCAATATAAAAGGCTGCACAGGATGTGCCGATTCCTTGTTGATATAATATTTTATATAAATTCAAAGGATTAGGTTGAAAATCAATCTTGAAACGAAAATAAACATTTTAAATATTTAGAAAACTAAAATGTTTTGTGCATTCTCACGTATTTAATCCATAGTTTAACCATTCTTAAATCTTGCTTATAAATGTTGTATTGATCATATGACGATAAGCATTGTTCGACAGCTTTACGAAATTTAGCTTCCAGTGAAGGATTCGTAATTAAGTTAGATTCCAGCCAGCATATGTATTGAAACCAGAGATCTAATGGATCTTGGCCGTTGTAACAATTTATTGAATGTTCCCATTCTCTGTAAGGCATATTAAATATTTAAAAGGCTCTTTTTCCAGCTTTGAATTATTTACCTTATTTTATTCTGAAGCGACGAAGTTATTAGATAATTTTGTGGATTCATGTTTTTCTTTGTACCTTCAATTCAGATTGAATGCCTAAAAGTTGAAAATGAAATTAGTTCCTGTTTTCTAAAATAAAAATGATGAATTTAAGAGTTAAGGTATGTATAGGTAGGCCAATATATGACTAATTTAAAATATTATGTTTAATTTTAAAAAATTCGTCTGGTTCTTGGAAATGATTCATTTATGTATGATAATAGAATTTATGAAATTATTTTTACGTCAATGCTAGATGTTTGCTATTTACACTTTTAAACTAAACACAGCAATTAAATAAAAGGAAAACTATTATTTCCACATTTAATATTTTTAACTCTTAAGTTATCCACAATTTCTTTTTCACATTTAAACATTAAAAAACACAACTTTTAGACACATTTATATTAGTTTTCTTTTAAGTCATGCACCTTTTTGGAGATCGACTTTATATTTGTTGTGAGGATTGATTAAATAAAAAGGAAAATATAAAATTCAAGTGTGACAAAAAAAAGTTCCTACATAGCCCGAAACCACTATAACGGGGTAAACAACTTGCATACATATTCATAATCCTCATACAATCAGAGCTGGGCGATCAAAAAGTAGATCCGATCTTGAGATCCACTTTTTTATTGAATTGATACAATATCTAGACCTATTTTTAATCGCTAAAATATTGAAAGAGTATGCTGATGCAGCTCTACATACATATAATTATTTATGGAGTCTGAAAGGAATCAGTTGTTGTTGAACCTCACAATTCCCTGATGCATAGAATGTCTTCTTCTATACAAGACTTGTATGCAAAATCCTGCTTTGAACGTCACAGTCCCCGTTGTTTTACTTTGCAAGCCGAGTTCTTCTTGTATGTTGTCTGTACGCAAAGTTTTTTATAAATTATAAATACGAATATTAGGAAATAAAAACTTAGCAAATGCTCAAGGTAATTTAGAAAGTATTAGAAATTCAATTTGAATTGAAATTTAAATTCTTGTTCTTAAAGGTTAACAAATTCATAATTTCAATTTTATGGTCGATTTCGCAAGTAATTTTTTTTTTGTTTCTAGAATAAAGGTCAACTTATGTTCGAGGATAAATGGCCTCATATGGAGGCAGTCGTTCTCAAATTGCTGCTTCAAGATCATGTTGATAACACGTAAGAAATTTTAAAATATCATTAAAAGGCATTAAATTATAAATTTCGTGATTTTTTTTCTTAGAGAATGGCAAGATCTGTTTTATGCTGTTCATTCAGTATGTTTATGGGATGAAAAAGGACCTCAAAAGATACGTGACAGTTTGGAAGATCTAATTGTAGCTTTCATCAAACAAGCGCAATCAAGAGTACTTATAGCAGGGGAGGAACAAGCTCTCCTTAAAGCGTACATTATAGAATGGCGAAAGTTTTTCACTCAAAGCTCTTTTCTTCCTCTACCATTTTGGCAGCTTGAGAATCTTCTGCAAGTAAAATCATCATCGTCCAGCCACAGTTCCAATAATACTTCAACGAAAAAAACATTGAGTTCAGATGACAGTGTTGTTAGAAAGCTTATGTTAGATAGCTGGAATCAAAGTATTTTTCTTAATATTAAAGATCGCTTGCAAGAATCTGCTATGAGACTTGTTCATTCAGAGAGAAATGGCGAAGCTTTTGACTCTCAGCTTGTCATTGGAGTACGTGAAAGTTACGTGAACTTATGTTCAAATTTTGATGACAAATTAGAAATTTATCGTGAGAATTTTGAGGCTGCTTATCTACAAGCAACAGCAGAATTTTATCGCCTAAAAGGAAATGAACAATTACAGGCAAATGGTGTGCAAAGTTTCATGCGCTACGCTGAAGCTAAATTGCGTGAGGAAGAAATGAGAGCAAAACGTTACTTGGAACCCGTTAGTGCAAATGCATTAGCCGAATGTTGTGTTCGTGTTCTTATCGATGATCATTTACCAACTTTACGGACAGAATGTCGTCCACTTATCGAAATAGGCGAAACAGAGCGTCTCAATTTGATGTTTAGATTATTAGATCGCGTAGATGGAGGCGTCAATCCATTGCTTAATGATCTTGAAAATCATATTGTCAGTTCAGGACTCTCAGATATGATTGCGTCTGCCGACATAATAACTCAAGACAGTGAGAAGTATGTTGAACGATTACTTGATCTTTTTCGTCAGTTTAGTAAACTTGTACAAGAAGCATTTAATGATGATCCGAGATTCCTTACAGCAAGAGATAAAGCATTTAAGAGTGTGGTTAATGACACGACAGTTTTTAAACTGGATTTACCCACAAATACAACAGTGAGAGGCACAAAAGCGACAACACCAGAAAGTAAATGTCCTGAATTGTTAGCCAATTATTGCGATATGTTATTGCGAAGAACGCCATTGAGCAAAAAGTTAACAAGTGATCAAATAGAAGCTCGTCTTAAAGATGTGCTGTTAGTACTTAAATACGTATGCAACAAAGATGTCTTTATGCGTTATCATAAAGCGCATCTCACTCGTCGCTTAATTCTTGATTCAAGTGCAGATTCCGAAAAGGAAGAAGATATGGTTGAATGGTTGCGTGAGATTGGAATGCCTGCTGATTATGTTAACAAACTAGCAAGAATGTTTCAAGATATTAAAGTAAGTGAGGATCTCAATACTCAATTCAGGTCAGAAACAACAAGACACGATGCTATTAACATTAAGATTCTCAATGCTGGCGCTTGGGCTGCTCGTTCTTCTGAAAGGGTCTCAGTAAGTTTGCCGTTAGAACTTGAGGACTACATACCAGAAGTTGAAGAATTTTACAAGAAGAAACATTCCGGAAGAAAACTTCAATGGTTTCACCATATGAGCAATGGAACTATAACATTCATGAACAATGTCGGTCGCTTTGACTTGGACGTTACAACTTTTCAAATGGCAGTCTTGTTTGCATGGAATCAGCGACCGAATGATAAAATTTCATACGAAAATCTTCGATTAGCAACAGAACTTCCTGATCCCGAACTTCGTCGTACTCTTTGGTCATTAGTGGCATTTCCAAAGCTTAAGCGACAATTGCTCTTGTACGATCCAATAGCTCAAGCGCCAAAAGACTTTGTCGACAATACCGTGTTTTGGATTAATCAAGATTTTTCTATCATTAAAAATGGAAAGGCTCAGAAAAGAGGAAAAATTAATCTAATTGGTAGATTACAGTTGAGTACTGAACGGTCGCAACAGGAAGACAATCAATCAATAGTTCAGCTAAGAATTCTTCGAACACAAGAAGCAATTATAAAGATTATGAAAATGAGAAAAAGAATGACCAATGCAGCGTTACAGGTAAATAATACAATTTATTGTTTTGTTACTTTTTTATGACAATATAAAAATATTTCAGGCTGAATTGATTGAAATTCTTAAGAATATGTTTCTTCCTTCGAAGAAAATGATCAAAGAGCAACTCGAATGGCTGATTGAACAAAAATATCTGGCACGTGATGATGGTGATATTAATGTTTTTACGTACATGGCTTGAAAGCTTTAGAATCAATATCTTCTACTTTATAATCTCGTTTTTGTTAAATTTTGAATTTCAATAAACAAACTTCATGATTTTTCTTTTATCCTTGCTTTTTATTAAATTCAAATTCAATATTTCTTACAAATAAAATTGATTTTTGTGGATGTTAGTAGGAAGCGTAATATTGCCGGTAACAGAAATATTAAAGGTTTTAAGAAGTGACATAATTGAATTTAAGGAAATAACATCATGCAGATCAATGTAAGCAATGAAACATGAACACTGAAGTTCGTTAAATTTCCTTAATGTGCAAATTCCAGCAGCGCAACCAGTAAGAAAGTTTGGAACTTCAAGTGTTGGAATATTTTGTCCATTATTTCCAACCGAACGAATCACACAATTTTGAAAAGCATTATCATTCTTGTATTCGGCGGTGCTTTGTAAAGATAAAATAATACACATCTTGGCTGATTCAAACCATGGACTGAGAAGTTTGGCTATAGAAGCAGCAAAATTATCAGTTTTGTTATCTTCTATAATGCCAATAAAAAATTGATCATTATGATAAACTTTTATGTTATGCTTTTTCATTTGCGCTATCAGATTTGCACCCTTAAGTAATGAGTTCTCCATGATACTGTGAGCATTGTTGCCTTCGACAAGTAAGAAATTTGTAGAATTGCTCACTTTTTTCTTATAATCTTCATTTACAAAATCCCATGTTGGTCTAAAATTTACAAACATAATAGAAAACAATATTGAATCATACATATTTGTATCAGGATAATTATGTTTATACCTTTTGAATTCCGTATTAACGCTGAAGTCTTCATATTCCTCGAAAAAAGCTCTTGAGAACGGTTCGTTTAATTCTCCGAAGTTGAAATCCATATTAATGATTATTATACTTTTTATTTCTTTTAATGGTTTTTAGTGACAAATGGAATCCAGAAGTTAAGTCAACTTTATGCGTTCATCTAATGTTTTCGAGAAGATGCATGATCATGCAATGTTTTACTTTTTCGATATTTTTCCCCTAAGCCATAGAAGCAAATCTTTATCAGAGAAGCAAAAATGAGGCAGAAATATTTGAATTGTGTCTGTACTTAAAAGATTTTGTCTAAAATTTCTTTTGCAATTAAAAATTAAGGAAAGCGGTAGTAAGCGAACATGGAAACAGAAATAACTAATAGTAACTCGTCTAGTTTCGAAGATCTTGTAAAAGATCATGATGTTAAGGACAGTGTGCAAAACGATGATTTCATGGATATATTGGGAAATAATCAATTGACAAAGAAAGTAGGACAAATTTAATTGATTCATTATTTAATTTCTTTATGTATAAATATAATAATAATAATGAGAATATATCTTTAAGATTTTAGTCCATGGAACATCAGATACACGTCCACAACGTTATGATATTTGCAAAATAAATTATGAAGCAAAACTTGAAAATGGCGAAGAAGTCGAAAATGTGGAGAATTTCAGCTTTCAACTTGGTGACTTAGAAGTTCCTCAAGGTTTGGATATGGGAATTGGTCTTATGAATGTTGGGGAAAAGTCAGAAGTTCATTGCAGTCCTAGATTTGCTTACGGTTCATTAGGACTACCAGAAAAAAATATTCCTGAGGATTCTAAACTTATTTACACCATTGAGTTAGTGTCGACACATGAAGAAACTGACATAGAAAAGAAATCTTATAAATCCAGGAAGGAAATTGGTAACAAAAAACGCGAAAGAGGAAATTTTTATTTCGAACGTCAAGAATATAATTCGGCAATTCAACTTTATCGTCGGGCTTTGGAATATTTAGATGAAAGCGATGGTGGAATTACTTCCCCTGTAGAAAACTCTTTCATAGAGCCAACAAATGAACAACTTCAGGATCTCCTTGAAGATAGAATCAAAGTTTATAACAATATGGCTCAATCTCAAATGAAAATTCATGCTTTCGATGCTGCTCTTAAATCTGTTGACATGGTCTTGACATGTCAACCTAACAACGTTAAAGCATTATTTAGAAAAAGCAAAATTTTGGAAGCGAAAACTGATATATCTTCAGCCATTCCACTGCTTCGAAAAGCAGCTAATCTTGAGCCAGAAAACAAGTCCATTCAAAACGAATTGTCACGCTTAATTTTGAAATCAAAGCGAGAAGCTCAAAGCGAAAAAAATTTATATCAGAAAATGTTGGGTCAAGCTCAAATATTAGATAAGAGAAAACCTCAATGTCCACCGTCTAAACCTGACACTAACACCAATGTTAGAAATAGATTGAAACTGTGGACTTATACTCTGGGATCGGTGCTCATTGGCGTTGCAGCAATCGCCTTTTATCGCTATAAATATTCTTCATAATAAGAAGACAAATATAATTGAAGTTTTCTTTTAAATCTTTTTTCATGTATTTTCCAGAATATTCCATATAAAAATAAATTTGAGTTTCTAAAACTATAATTATTTATATTAGTCTTTTCATTTGTGAATAATTTCATTGTCATAATAATGTTGAATGTGGAGTTGTTTGCTTATCTTTTAATTTTATATAATTGCTTAAACATTTCATTGTATCCAAAACCCACCTTTACCATAATTTTAGATATTAGGCCAATACAAAATTAGCGGACGAATTGTATACAAAGATAAATTTAATTGTATTTGTGTAAATTATCGAATAACATGTAGTGGAAATGTCGAATGCTTCGATACAACTATTAATGACAGCTTGTCGCTGACATCTTGACTTAGTTCAAACCAGGAGCATTTTCCAATAAATGTAACTTCCTCGATTGTTGGCTTGAAAACAACAAGTAAAGTGAGACAAATTCCATCGTTATGTAAAACTGAAGCGTCATGTTCCACAGATAACAAGCCAACAAGTCGATGTTGTGGAACTTCGGAACCAAATAATTCAACCATAAATTTTCTTAAAGTAGAATGTAAACTTTTTCCAGGGTGAATTTCAGTAGTAGGAAAATGTCTCTCGTTTTTTTCACTGACAAGTATATTAACACGATTTGGACTTGAACGTTTACGAACAGCAATAACAAGACGAAGGTAATTCTTTTTGTGTGATTTGATGCCAGGTAAAATTAAATTATGCCATGTGGAATCTGATGATCTATTATGGTAGTTTCTTCCCAACTCGATAATATTTAAAACGTCTTGACTTCTTAGGGTCACTTCATTGAGGTTATCAATCCATTTGGCTTGTAATGATTCTGTGTCTGCTTCACTTGGACTTTTAAGTTTACCACCTGTTACATTGCCAGTTAAAACAAACCTAAACCATGATCCGCAAGCGGATTCAACTGCAAGTAAAGTCGATATTTTTACATATAATCCAGTTTCCTCAAGAACCTCTCGTTCAGCTGCTTCCACAATATTTTCCTTGTTCTCCATTCTTCCAGCTGGCAGATACCATTTTCCTGCGCAACTTTTCTTGGCTTCTTGAATCAATAATAGTTCGTTTTTTTCATTAAAAATTACTACTGCAACTATGTAGGTCACTGACTTTCCTAAAACGGGAATATAATCTGTGGAAACACTTGGTTTTATTCCTTGAGATTCTGAAAACTGATTCTGTTCCTCAATTGTGAAATCACAAAGCTGATCAGTGTTCTCATCTAAGGACTGATTATTCAAAATCCTTAATAGGTTGTTTTCCATCTTCACTAGTTTAGTGTTGTGTTCGTTTTATTTAAACTTTCGTAATGTTCGTCATTAAAAATTTAAAACTGAGTCAGGCAATTTCTTTTCATTATTAATTTTCCCAATCACTCAAATCTGAAAACTTTCCTCAATCAATTTGTTAACTTCTTTTGTTTCTAATCCCTAATATCAAACTGTTTTTCCAAAAAAAAGAGAAAGTTTGTAATAAACCTGCAAAGTATGTATGTAAATATTTTTGTAGATGTTAACAAGTAGGGTTTTTCAAAACCCGAATTTTCGGGTAGAGTTTTAAAAAAATCCGCTACTTAGTTTCGGATCGAGTTTTTCAGTTATTTTTTCCATCGTTGATAAATAATAGAAAGATGTGAATAAGCAAAACAATTACAAATAAAGCTGCTTTAAGACGTTTATTAGAAGTGCAAGTTGATTTAACTGAATCCATTTATGATTATGGATCAACTTCATCTTTGATTCGTCACTTCCATTGATGTTACCGAAAAATACTACGAAATACCTGAAAGATACCACGAAATACCCGAAAAATTCCGCGAAAACCCTACTAGCAAGCACACAAACAAAATTGTATACAGGTTTGGTTGAGTAAAGCACTTTAGCACTCGTATTTAAACAAAAAAATCAGAGTCAATGTGATAGTATTCAAATAAAGAAAAAATCTTCAAAGCCCGATGTTCAAAACTCCTACCTAGAATTTCTAGAACAACAACATTTGTAAAAATCTAACTTGCCTTGTTAATTATGTTTCCACATAACAAGGAATGATAAGAACTGGTAGCATTCCAACAATTTTAAAACAAAACAGTCAATGACGAACATATAAAATAAACATGATGACGACTATGAATATTTAAAGTATTTAGATACAATTTCATAAATTTAAAGTTTCACTTTATTGACTACTTTTTTAAGGATCAAAGGTTTTGAATATAAGTACGACTAATTTATAAAAATCCAAAATTCTAATACCTACATAACATTTTTGAAGATATCTTTGCTTGACAAAGTATCTTTGTTGCTTTTACTTTATCAAAAAAAATTAAATCTTAATTCCAGATGAACCACGGATATCTCCTTTCTCGATTTAAGTTTCTATTTCTAAATTTCTAAAGAAACTTTATCAAATATATGCTTCAGGTGAATTCACATCTTTAATTTTTGTATATTGGACCTTTCGAGATACATTTGATATAGATGGGTAAATTATTCTTTTGAGGGAATCGTATTTAATATATATAAGAGCTGCCATCGTCGTAAATAAGATGATAGAAATTGCAACGAATATAAACACAAGCATGGCTGAATGACTTTTTGTTGTTATTGAACTTTTACTTAATATTAGACACTTGTCAATCTTCACAGATAACAAAGACTGGAAACGATTACCTCGATTAAAGCAACTCAAAGTATTCAAATTATTAATTTTCACTTTCGTTCTTTTTAACCAATCATGAAAATCATTGATACTACAATCGCATGTCAATTGATTATCAGACAAATCAATCATAAGATCATGTCCAGTAGTGTTTGATAAGATATCAAGAACATTCAGATCATTTGATTTCATCCGAGTGATTTTATTACGTTTCAAATCAAGAAGTCGTAAACTATGAAGACAGAGAATATCGAAATTTATTTCCTCGAGGAAATTGTCCCCAAGATAAAGATACTTTAGGCTTGGTAAATCACAAAATAGTCGTTTATCCTTAAATGTTTTAATTTCATTCTGCTCAAGATGAAGTTTTGTCAATTTCGTGAGATTGCTGTTCACAAAAATCTCATGTAGATTTTCTGATAACTCTGCTGAGGAATTATCTGTATCAAAGGCATTTGTCAAATGAAGTTCTAAAAGATTAATAAAATTTGAAAAAACTCGGGGATGGCGATGTTTAAAATTGTTTTCGGGATAATTTAAAACTCTCAAATTGTTGTGATTTAATATAAGACATTTGACATTCGGAACGTGATGGTAACTTTTGCCTTTTATCTCACGAATATTATTGTTGCTCATGTCAACAATTGTTAGGTTGAATAAGTTATTAAAGGCACCGAATATATTCCACGGAAGCTCGGATACATTATTTCCTGTCCAAATTAATACTTCTGTTTGTAAAGGCAAATGCTGGAGCATAGAAACCTCACGAAATCCATTGTTTGTACAATTCACAACATATTGAATACGATCGTTGTATTTACTCATTCCACATGAGCATTTATCATTAAATTTTGGTCCACAATCACCCCCATTGATAAACGGTATTGATAGAAATATCATCGCCATAAAGAAATATTTCCGCTCTTCCCTTCTTCTAGACATTTTACTGTTTTGAAACTTTTCTTTGCAGACTTTTGAGTTATCTTTAAATGCTCTCAAGGTAAAATTCAATTGCTGCTCTTGATAAATGAAATAGATTCCATGTGCAATATATCTGTAAAAAATGTTTTAATCAACAAGTTAATTTGTAAATTCAATAATAGTTCAAGTTTTAATATATTGTATTACGCCTACTTTAAAGAAATTGTTGCTTAACTCCAGTTAATTCCATTCCATAAAATATTTTACTTAAGTCACAATCTTTTTCGAAAAACATGTCTTGAAAAAGTCTTTCAATATAAAATTAAATATTTTCTTGATGTTTATTTTGATGACTAAATGTTGATTTTAAAAGTACACTTTATGAAATGATTTTTAAAATTGTGGTTAATGTGGATGTTTCTGTGTAAAATGAAAGAAGTGAAACCTGTTTGTAAAATACAGTTAGTTCTCGAATTTTATAAATTTATGCTCTCATTCAAATGCATCTTTTAATCGACATGCTTTGTAGTATTGTCTCATTCTGATTTTTTTTTTAAATAACTGACTTCATACTAATTCTTCGTTTGAGTATACTTAATTCATAATAGAATTAGGGGAAATAAGAATAAATATTAATCAATATTTTTATTCAGGTTGTTCAATGCGTGTAATAATTAGGTAGTATTTGTCTCCTTCATGGTTGTGTTACAAAAATATTCCAACCGAACCGAAGAAAGATATTATTCAGATTTTTCATTGGAAAAAAAGTACATCAGAAGTCCACTATAATTGAATTAAGAATATTCAATTTTTCAATCTTACATTCATACGCTTTAAATAGGTATTTAAACATCTTTCAGAAAAGGGAGGGAAAAGCTTCCAAATTGTCAATTGTTAAAATCGTCTTTTTTTTTAAGAAACACTTTGAAATTTGTAAAAAGTTTTTTTAAATTCCAATCTTATCGAAGACACATTTTTTGGTATTAATATGCCGCATATTTACAAATAAGTTCGGCTGTATCTAACACCAACCTATTAACTTTTTCGGCATTTAAGGCACAGCAAGGTGATATGGAGAATATTCAGAAACTTTTTGATCGAGATCCTTCTCTGAAGCCATTTGAAACTGAAATAAAACGAAGGTAAATAATAACACTTCTAAACAAAAAGTAGTTAAATATTTTTTAATTCGGCATACGTCATATTGATTTCGTTTAAAACCTAGTTAAGCTTAGAGTTTGATTGAAAGCTTTATATCAGTTTCATTATAATGTATCTAATAATTACTTTGTTATTCGATCTTTTTCATCAAAAGATTTTATTGTGACAATAGAAAAAAAGTCTAAATAAAGTTAACATAAAGAAAACAAAGTCAAATCAAGGTTGAATAATTTTACACGAACGATTTACATTAATAATTGATTTTTTTATTTTAAATAAAAGTTTCTTAAAAGAGTATCTTGATTGATGAAGGTGGTCTAACCTTAACTTCTGATTTTCTTATGTTTTTTCATTACTCTTGGAAAAGTTGTTGAGAAGTTTTTAATTCATTTTCATTTATTAGGCACAATTGTCTGGTAAAATGGGTGGAAACATTCAAAAATTCAGAAGGTGGCATCGAAAAGTTTACTAAAGGATATGAATATTACGGAATTCACATCAAGGATGACAATTCTGTAGTGGCCAGAGAATGGGCACCTGGAGCACAATGTTTATACCTAACCGGTGATTTTAGTAAGTTTATTCTATTTTCTATTAGAATTATGTAATTTAATAATAAAACTTTTGTAGATAACTGGCAATGGGAAGCACATCCCTTTCGTCAACTTGAATATGGTAAATGGGAATTAATTTTGCCACCAAAAGAAGATGCAAATTGTTACATTAGTCATTTAAGTGAAGTCAAAATAATAGTTAAAAACCTTGAGGGACAACTGTTAGAAAGGCTGTCACCTTGGGCTACTTATGTTGTCCAACCCACAGACCTGAGTTATGGAAAAAATTACAAACAAAAAATATGGAATCCTCCTGAGAGTGATCGTTACAAATTTCAGTATAAGAAACCAAGTAAACCACAAACTTTAAGAATTTACGAGTGTCATGTGGGAATAGCTACGGAAGATTATGGCATAGGAAGTTACAGGAACTTTGCTGATAACGTTATTCCAAGGATAGTGAAACAAAATTACAACACTATTCAAGTTATGGCAATCATGGAGCATGCTTATTACGCTAGTTTTGGTTACCAAGTGACAAGCTTTTTTGCTGCGTCGTCAAGGTTTGGAACGCCTGAAGATCTGAAATATTTTGTTGATATCGCCCATAAGAATAATCTGACAGTGTTGCTTGACGTTGTTCATTCTCACGCGAGTAAAAATACGCTTGATGGTTTAAATGAGTTTGATGGAACCGATTCTTGTTACTTTCACTCTGGGATTAAAGGCGAACATCCCTTATGGGATTCTCGACTTTTTAATTATTCATCATATGAAGTTCTTCGATTTCTCCTGTCAAACTTAAGATGGTGGAAGGAAGAATATGGTTTTGATGGATATCGTTTTGATGGGGTAACATCAATGCTTTTTCACAATCATGGAGTTGGCACAGGATTTTCAGGAGATTTAAGTGAATATTTTGGACTCAATGTTGACACTGATGCTTTGGTTTACATGTCATTAGCAAATAAAATTTTCCATGATATGAATTCTAATATAATAACAATTGCTGAAGACGTTAGTGGTATGCCAACGCTTTGTTGTCCCATAGACGAAGGAGGGATCGGTTTTGATTATCGCTTAGGTATGGCAATTCCTGATAAGTGGATTGAGCTTATCAAAGAAAAGAAAGATGAAGATTGGAGTATGGGAGATATTGTTCACACATTAAGCAACAGAAGATGGAAGGAAAAAACTGTTGCGTATGCTGAATCGCATGATCAAGCTTTGGTTGGCGACAAAACTTTAGCATTTTGGCTAATGGATAAAGAAATGTATACAAATATGTCTGTGCTATCTCCACCTTCTCTGGTTATTGATCGTGGCATGGCTTTGCATAAAATGATTCGGTATGTTTATGAGTTTTTAAGAAAGGGTTTAATGTTAATATTAAAATAAAATTCGTTAGACTCATCACGCATACACTCGGCGGGGAAGCTTATCTAAATTTTATTGGCAACGAGTTTGGTCATCCAGAATGGCTCGATTTTCCTCGTGAAGGCAACAAACAATCTTATCATTATTGTCGTCGTCAGTGGAGCCTTTCAGGTGAGTAAATTTAACTGATTTGCTTTTATGTTTTGTCAGTTTTTTTCACATGTTTAATTGTTGTTCTTACTTTTCTTTACAGACAATAAAACTCTAAAATATAAATTTTTAAACGAATTTGATCGGATGATGAATTTAACTGAGGAAAAGTACCAGTGGCTAAACACAAATCCAGGATATGTTACATGGTCACATGAAGGTGATAAAATAATCAGCTTTGAACGGAATCGCCATGTATTCGTTTTCAATTTTCATCCCGAGCGATCATTTACCGATTATCGCATAGGAGTTGAATTTCCCGGAACTTATAAAATTGTATTAAGTTCTGATGATGAAATTTTTGGAGGTTTCAATAGAGTAGACACAAAATTGTCGCATGTATCATTAGCTGAAGGTCATGCTGGCCGGAATTATTTTATTCATGCCTACTTACCAGCGAGAACATGTTTTGTATTCGTGAAATTGGGATGAATAAATACCTAATTCAAATATTTTGAAGAACATGCGATTTGTTTTATTTTATACCAATCATGTAACATGACTCATGTTTAGAGAGATTATTTTCATCAAATTTTGTGAAAGCTTCGATTATCTGAGTAATTGAATGGTCGACGATAAGCAATTACGCATCATTCTATGAGTATGAATGTAACTTTATTAAACTTTAATTTAATGTTATTTATGCTTACGAAAACATTAAATCAAAATTCTGTAAAGAACTCACAGGAAACTAATATAAATTATTCGAAAAACAGTTGAATATCGATTACCGATCATCATCTTAAAAACGAAAACGTTCCTTTTATCTCATGGTGAAGTAGAAACTTTTGGAAATCAAGAAAATAAAATCAAAAGATTTCATCATCAGTCAAAAACTGTAAAATTGTTGTTAGCACAGATCCATTCAAAAGTAAATCTTTTACAATGTTTTGAGATTGGAGATATATTTCATTGTTAATTAAACGCAGATATATACAAAGAATTAAATGACATATTTGATATCCAACACATTTAATGACTTAACAAGCGATGACGATTAGATTTGATCTTTATCTTTTCGACAAGATTGCAAATTTTTAGAGCTGGGCCAAGTTTGATTCCCATATATTTCATCATCATTTCAGAATTGAGTAGTAATAAAGCCTTTCCGTCAATTTCCTTAAAATAAACATTCTAATAAGTTTAGCTATTCATTAAATAATTAAATTAATTTATATTTACGTGTCTTCTAAATAAATCAGCATGAATAGCTAATGTAATGTCAGCCGTAGAAATATATTGAATAACGTCTTCTATTCTCCAATCATTTATGTTTCCATGTGGAATGGTTGGACTAGGACTTGAAGCATTTGATGGACAGTCCATAACTTTATCAATGTCGTTATCGGACGATCTTCCACACATCTCTGCCGGCTGGGGTATTTCTGGCTCAGGAAATGTTGGAAGTTCAGGTGTTACTCGTTCTTCTTTGATTTTCATGTCTTGAGGTGTCGTAATCATCGCAGTAACTGTTGGTTTAGTTTCTTTTGTTAGAGAGGGCTTAAGTACTCCAGTTCCTGATGTAAGAGATGAAATCTCTGAATCCGGAAACGAATTCTTTTTTCGTTTCGGAACTGGTGAATCTGTGCCTCTCGGCTGACGTTTTGGTGGCGTTAAAGGTGGTATTGATGATTGATGCAAAGTGATTTCATTTCCACAGCATTTTTCGCATTGTTCGGGTTCACGACTAAGCGTTATTACATTTTTACAAGCGTGGCAAGCTGTCATTAGTGACTCAAGGAAACTTGACATTTCTTCATCTGCTTTTTCTTTCGTGAATACAGGAATTTTTACCGTAAAGTTTTTACTTGATGCTGTTACTATGTGAACCTCTCCTTCCATTCCAAAGAGAACAGGCGAAAGTTGATTTGTATCACGGCATGCTGACAACACCTCTTGCAGACATAACTTAGCAAGTGACTGATGAGAAGGTCCCGTCAAAATAACCGGTAGTTTGTGGGGATTAATGAATGGCCCTGACTTGCATTGTGTGTGAAAATGAGCCGTGACTGGTGTTGCCTCTTTCAATTCTTTATCTTGAGCTAGTGTGAAGTTAACACGAGCGTTTCTTTGTCTGCTGGACGTTGAATCAAATCGACCTTTGTGTCCTGGTGGTTGCATTGGATGGCAGCTTTTCGCACACCATCCAACAGCAAAAATATCTCTTGAATCATATCTGCACCAGTAATCAAATGCTCCACGCCATCCATCAAATGTAACGTGAATTTCGTCATCTTTCACAGCAGAGACTGTTGCGCAGCAAATTAGTTGCGGATTCTTTTTGTCTACAGCTTCGAGCTTGTGGCCAACTTTGAAAAAGTTCCGTTTGGGAGTCTTAGGCTCAGGTTGAAAGATTTCAGCTGGTGCCATTTCGCCATCACTAAGAATTTTAGCTAGAAACGAAGGCCAATTGCTCGCATTTCTAGAGTATCCAAGTGGTGGTTGCAACATTCCGCCGTTCTTTTCACAATCTCCAACGGGTTTGATTTCACTTGAATCGACAAGTCGCCAAAAATCATTTTTATTGTCACTGCCATCAAGACGTAGTTTTAGTCTGGATCCTAAAACACCGACAATTGTTGCTATGCATATTGAATTAATATTCCTTGGATCCACTGCTTCCAGTTTCATTCCTATTTTGAATTCATTTTTAGGCGGATTTAATGCTTGTTTGAAACATTCTGATGGCGCTGGAACAGATCCGGTTTCCTAAAAGTAAGAGAAAAGCACTTTTATGATCATTTAAATTGAAATGTCGTCATGTAATGATTACCTTTAAATACTCTTTCCAGTCAAAAACATGAAACGCTTCATATTGGAACATTGGACTAATCTTAGTAACTGAATAATGCTCCTTAATAGTATTGTTGTTATTAGGTTCTACTTTTTGTGTACTGTTGTCGGATAAGTTATTATTATTGCTGAATGATTTATTATGTGATGTTGACGGAATTTGATTCTGAACCTCACAAGAAGTTTTACTTTTGTTTTTGTTGAAGCAAAAAGTTGAACAAAAATTGCGATTTGGAGCGTTTCCTCTAATGGCGTTATCACATTCAACACAAGCGCCTTTACTATATGCTTTTCGGAATTCAGCAATACATGTTTCACTGCAAAATTCTTTTTTTCCATTTTGTGTAGGCAAAACGTATTTTAATGGTGTTTTTGTTTCTGCACACCATGTACATGTTTGAACTGATTGAAGTGGTAATTTTTTTCCAACACCGCTTCGATTTCTTCCATTCATTAGATTGCTTAAACTTATACTTTTTCTGTGATTACTTGAGCTGTTTTTCTTTATTGTTGTATCAGATTCAGTAGTAGACATGATATTTTCGGGGCATTTATGCTTTCTTAAATATTTTAATGAAAGTTATGAAATTGCTCTCTTCATCGACCAATTCACGAAAAACCAAAGCCATTGAAAGTATTTTAAATTTTGTTCATAGCTTTTTTATAATTAACTCGCAATGAAAGATTTTATTAAATTTTTTAAAATGTTTTCGATTACGCTTACTTTTCAAATCGGTTCAATGGCGATGAATCTAACGGTTCAAAATGATGTCACATCAACTTTAATATATGGAAAACTTTCATTAATAATTTTGTTTCAAAATTTAGTTAAATAATAAAACTGGAAAATATAAAATACTTAATTCCACTAACAAAAGAAAATTCAAACATAACTGGTTTCAGATTAGATTATACTATGTTCTTTCTTTGGGCGACTTATCTAGGTTACACTTTTGTGTGATTTGCCTCAAACGGTTTATTTATAAGAATTAGGGAGAATAGCCTATTGGTAGGAACCTTAATATAATGATTATTTGGTAACAACTTGAAATTTGAACACGATTTTCTTCGCTTTTTCACCTTTTTATAGCTTAAAACTTTTTAGAGAAGTACTTCAGTCTATCTATCTACTCTTCTTCTCTTAAAAGTTTCAACCAACAGAAAAGTTAAATAGTGGAGAAAACCGTATTCGAAATTCAAGTGGCTACCATCTACATAGCCACAACTTTAAGGTTGCTACCAATTTGCTATTTCCCCTAGTTGAAAATAATTTAAGAAAGAAGTTCCTTTGAAAATATTAGTAAACAATTTATTATTTTTTAATTTATTGGAGATATTCTCGTAGAACTTCGTGATAGAAATAATAATAAAAATGGAAAAACATGATAAATTTATTGTTGACATGACTGTGACCATTGAAGATATTCAAGGGAAACTTTATACGTGCAATTTTCCTACTTGCGGAAAACAAATTTTTACTTCTGAGAAAAGCCTTAAAAAGCATGTCATTATCAAACATCACAACATAAAAATTAGCCAGGAAAAATTATTAAACATATCGTATCGTTTCAACTGTCCTATAGCAACCTGCAGAAGAAACCTGAAACTTGAAGATGAATATTTCAAAAATCGTAAACATCTTGTTCAACATTATTTTAAAGTACACAACGCAAAACAATTTAAATGTTCGAAATTAAATTGCTTGAAAAAATTTTCAACTGAAATGCTTCGCAATCTTCATTCTAAAAATTGTGGACAAATTTTTACATGCTGTTGTAAAAGTTCCTTCAATTCAAAAGAAGCAATGTTAACTCATATTAAGAGAAAACATTCACAACTGATGTCATCGAAGAAAGAGAAGGTGGTGAAAGAAACACATTTTGCTCATTCACCATTAACTAAAGAAGCTTCAACAGCAACTTCGTCTCTCGAAATTAGGAACTTACATCCTGAATTTTCTCATCTTTCCTCATTAAACTCCATAACAACTCCTGCTCCGATACCATCTGATAAGCAAATATTATCACTTTTAATTCAAGATAAGTCAACCTCATCTGAAACAATTACAAACATAACAAAACTCATGAATTCGTCAGCTTCAACTACAGAAATTTTGAATAAAGAGGAAAATTCAAACAGTTTGTCATCTTCGTCTAGTCAAACAAAAAGAAAAATTAATTGGAGCATCGAAGAAGCATTCGATGACTCTCTATTTGATAGTGATGCAAAAATGGAATTTTACTCAACAGAAACCCAAACAGATTTTGTCGAAACGTATATGTCTAACAGCAATTATACTCAGACTACATTTACGGATTTCTATGATTTCGGAAAATTCGATATTCAAACACAAACGAATTGGGACGAATGACTGAAAATAAACAGAGTAAATAAGTAGAATTAATAATGATAAATTTTATATTTTATTTAAATTGTAAAAAAAATTGTAAAGGTTGTAAAATTGTCAATTGTAAATAAAAATGTTTAAATGTTTAAGAAAACTTTCTTATGATAAAGTTTACGAGCGATAAAAATCCAAATAATGACAGTGTAAATATTTTCCAATAAAAATAAAAAGTGTGTATTCATTACTGCAAAAGAGAAATGGAATGGCCACATTTTATGGAAAATTGAATGTCCGACGTATAAGACAATGGCATTCATACCAGGATAAAGAAAAATTTTCCAAAAATCATCGCCAATATTCTTTACATCTACTAAATAATAGATAGCACTGAAAAGGAGAAACGCTAGGGAAGTTGTTATTGTGACAAATGAAAGAGACCAAAGATTCTTGTTAATAGGAATTATTCCATCTTCAACAGAAAAAAAGGTAAGAATTGCAGTAATTGAAGCTAACATTATACTCCACAAAATCCATCGGTTCAATTTGTCTTTAGGTGTGGGATAGACTAACAATGTCACTCCACATTGAAGGCCAAAAAACACTTGAACGATTGTAAGCAGACATCCAAAAACTCCTTCTGGATCAAAAACTAATGCACCATACACAGATCGAATCTTTGCATGTTGGTACATATGATTTTCTCCCAAAATCATTCTATCTATGTAGCCAATTACACCGCCTGTGCAATTCTGATGTTGATTATAATCGTGCATTCCTCCAGGTCCAAAGTATCCCCTTGAACAATTCGGTGCTTTGAAGCTAAATATGACAGCAAGATGTAATAGAATAAGCAAAATGATTACAATCCATTGCCTCCAAATCAATCTGATATCGTGGAAGACTTGTTGAAACCTAGTTTCAGATGTTATTGTGTCAGTGACAAAAGCTAAATGTATTAAACTTGTGGCAAGATAAGCGACAGCAAAACGTTGCAACACTCCAAATATTCGTATAGTTTCAAATGTAGCTCCTGAAGTTGTATTCAAAAATAGTCCAAGAACAAAGAGAGTTAAAGAACGCTGAAAAAAAAGAAAAAGGTTTTGGTTCAAGAAATTCTAAATTCAGCATTCTTTCGTCAATCGAAGTTTCTTGATAACTAGGATAAATTTTCATTTGCCTAAACACTCTTGATGAAAGACAATGAGAGATTATGGATTTAAAAAAAAATTTACCTTAATAACTTTTTTCACGATATTCGTCTTCGATATTTCCTTATTTATTTGTGATCTGATGCTCAACGGAATGCAAACTCCCATTATGAAGAGAAACCATGGAAAAACTAGGTCAGCCAAATGGAGTCCATTCCAAACAGCGTGTTCTATCCACCAGTATTGTCCTCCACCAGAATTTACAAATATCATTAATACGATTGCGATTCCTCTGAAGATGTCTAAGCTTTTAAGTCGTCTTTGAGTGGTCAATGCTACTGTTTCGTTGTCAGGTTGTGTCGGTTGAGGTGTTTCAAATTGAGATTTATAGAATTTATTGCCAGCTTTGCAGATCCAGTAGAAAATGGATACAAGAAGACCAACATATAACAATGCTAAAATAAAAATAAAACAATTAATCATTCAGCTTTTTTAGATTTCGTTGACTTACACAAATAAACATTAACTGGCTCCAGATCAACTTCAAATTTTATCATGTTATTGATGCTCAGAGTGTACACTCCAAATTCTCCTAATTCCGGTTTTGCACTCCAGCTTAATCCCTCCGTTGACTGATTTTGATAAAGATAGTTTTGGCAAACATCTTTAACTAACCTTAATTCGAGGTTTCTTGCAACTTCTAGTGTCACTATTGTATCTTCATTTGGGATGATTTGTTTTAATTTCCTCAATGGGCAATTGACACAATCTTCCGATAATGAATAGAGGCAAAACCTCTGACTGATTTGATTACTAACATTAAGGTAAGATTCATCAACTTTAAGATCCCTTAGGTTTAAACCCAAATAATTATTATCAGTCCACTCTGGCCAAAACATTTGTTGATTTTTATAAAACAAGGTAGGTATATAGGTAGAACTTTTACGATGTCTCAGACTTGAGTAATTGGCCTATATGAAAAAACGAACAGGTTTGTAGTTTTTATCATATTTTAGTGAACAATGAATAAAGAAATCTTATTACCTTGACCCGTTTTTGAATTCTTTGATATTTCAGAAATCTTGATAAACAACACTCTCTACCTGAAACTACTGCACACAATTTAACCGGTCTGACCAGTGTTTTTCAAAAATATCTTGTAAATGGATCTATGGATTGAAGTTATGTCTTGAAACGATCGATAGAGGACCCAATAGTGGGTAAATTTTTAGAAGATTGTGTATTAAAAAAGCATTTAATTAGCGAGTTATTAAGGGAAAGAAATTACAGTATTCTTATATCCTTTATGAAATTCAAATTTTAGCCAAGACACATTTTCAGTCGACTCGTCGCAATGAAAATCACGCAGAGTGTAATCTTAGCACTCCGGTCACATGGCCTGAATTCCAGTTTAAAAACTTTTGGAATTTATGGAATGAAACAATAGAAACTGTTCAGTTTCTTCAAAATAATCCTGTTATTTCACAAGTCGCATGGCTAAGGTAGCATGATATAATCATAAGTTAGATGCAATACAAATTGTCTTTACATTTTTTTATCTCTATGAAATTCATAATTTTTGCTAATATGAATTTATTAGCTACGCGACATTTTAAAAGAATTGCCCATATAGGTATGTGGAAAAAGAAAACTCGAAGAAATATGTTTGGAATACTGGATAAACGAATTTCAATATGACCCAAAATAACGGTAAAATGGAAAATAATGTAATTTTATTAATAAGTTTTGATCTTCAATCATTTTAACGTAGGTGATGAATATTTTTTCAAATTGAATCAGGTTTAGTTTCTTAGAGTATATAAAAGTTAATAATATTTTTGTATTTTTCACTATTTTGATCATTTAATTTGAAAATATCTGTGATACCGATGGTTGCTCTTCGTTTAAATACGGTACTGCGCAATCGAATGAAAACGTCGACAAACAATATAAAAAGGATACAACTTTACATGAGCTCACCAATTTCTTCATTTGACATCGTGTTGATAACACTTGTTGAGTTTTTAGTACGGTGTTCGTTATATCATATATAAAACTATACTATAATTTTTTTTCTTGTGGCAGAACAAGGAACAGTATTTTTATAATTTAAAATAAAGAAGATTTTTATGGAAGAGGAAAGTTTATGCTTTGGATTTCTTATAATTATTAAAATAAATTGAGAATTATTTGATAAAAGTGAACACTATAATTTGTGGTTCTCGTGAATTCCATTATCAAGTGTAAACGAAATTATTTTGGATTAAATACTTCGTAAGTTTTAAATAATGAGTTACGATATTCCCTTATATAGATGTGAACTCAATCACAACAATACATAACATAAAAGCTCTCAATTGAATGAACAAATTTTCTGATTTGAATAAAAGTGATGGTGTAAAGTATTACAAGTTTAATATGCGAAATAAATAGTTAACCGTTTTTTTCCTGACTTTGTTGCATGACTTAAATTTTAATTTCTATCAAATTTTCATTCTTTGATTTTTGTTAAAAGATTACCGACGGTACTAAAAATAAATTTTGGAAGAGTCTCCAGTCTTCAGTATTCAATTAATGAAAATTAGTAATTAAAAAAAATTCATCCCTTTTATTTGCATAAGACGAAGAAAGGATAAATTAATAAACATTTAATTATGAGAATTAATAAGAAAAACAATATTCAAAAAAGAAATGTGCAATCTCAAACTTAATATAATGTTCTCCAAATTTAATGCTATTAATTAAAGTGATCTTGGTTTTAAAGTAGGAAATATAAGTTTTTTATAGGAAAAAGGTAATCTCGTGAACTAATTTTTTTTAATGTGTGTAACTTACAAAAACTTTCACATGTGTTTTATTATGAGTAATAACTTACTTCTATTTTTTTGTGACACCTTCTGATGTCCAAAGAATAATAAATCAAACAATGAGATTGTGTGGATGACGCGATATGAAAGTTCAATGGTGAACATTTGGGAGATGTCATGTTTTCTTGTCTAACAATACATAATGATGACAAAAACATTTTTCTTACTTTTCGGAAACCTTAATCAACGTTGAATTTTGATAAACATCAAGATTTTCGTTTCTTCGTTTTAATGAACGAATAATATATATTTATTATATTTATAT